TCTAATATTAATCTACAATGTATAATATCATAAATATTTTCGCATTTTGTAATGATATTAATATGTAACTTTATTCGATTATTTCATTCTATTTCTATTCACAAAGAAACTGTATATTCCTTAAAAAAAAGATGATAAAATATTATTGTCAATATTTCTACGGATTATGTGTCTTTATTTTTGTTGCTTAAACGGTTAAAAATCGGCGCTGAAAATCGACGATTAAAATCGCGTTACGTGAAATCGCGGTTATAATCGTGCAATATCTTACGACACGCGCGGTAGTTACGATCAAAAATAGCGGTCGTTGCCTCATGGCAGTCATTGCGAGCATGAAATCGACGACGGCTATCCGGGCAAACGCAAATGCGAGATCAACGATCGGTCGACATCATACAACACATAATTTACGTTGTAATGCACCGTTTGACTACGATGAAATCATTACCGGTAAGACGAAACATTCTCCCTTCTGCCCCCATTGCATCCTCCCACGAAACTCCCGTTATCATTATCTCCGCACGACGAATCATTACAGGTATCTGTGAGTGTCTGTGAAACTGGACGACAATCTATGAATTTCGAAAAAATACTAACAGTTCTGATAGCACTTTTTATAGTTGTAAAGTTCTTGATGAAGATTAAAAAGAGTTCCGCATTCCTTATATTATATTAAAAAATCGAAAAAATGTACTAACTTCGTGAATCTAGCACGACATTCTTCCTTTTAAAATACCAAATCATGCGTTGAATATCATTATTTTTAGCAAGTTTTTAATGGTTCTGTTCCTGTTCAGCCTATATACGCAATTTCAGATCGATATCCCTACAATTAATAATTTTCAATCAATTTTTAATGTCCTCGATCCACACAACACTTAATAAAAATGTGTCGTGCGAATGATTTTCCGCAGTTCTAACGATAATTTTCGACAGTTCTACAAAAGTCCTATCCTTTAGAGAAATTTTTATGCAAAATTTCGACCTTTTTATTTCGATCTTTTACTATCTTTTAAACAATTATTTACAATTACTCAGCACGATACTCTACTTCTAAAGTACTAAAACTTGTTGAAAATTATCTTTGATAACAGTTCTCGATAATTCTATTCAAGTTCAGTGTATATATGCAAGTTTTTAGGTTGATATTTCAAAAATTAATAATTTTTAAACAATTTTGAAGCAATTTTTTACAATTATTCAGCACGACACTCTCCTTCTAAAGTACTAAAACGTGTTGAAAATTATTATCTTCAAGAGGTCTCGATAGTTCTGTTCAAGTTTTAAACAATTTTTAAACTATCGAAATATCTAAAATTGTATATATACGCTGAATTTGAACAAAATCAAGAACTGTTATGAAAAATAATAATTTTCAACGCGTTTTAGTACTTTACATTGAGTATCGTGTTGGCTAATTATAAAAAATAGTTTAAAAGATAGTAAACGGTCTACTGTGTAAAAATGTATCCAAAAGACAGAACTTTTATAAAACTGTCGAGAACTATCGTTAGAACTGCGGAAAATCATTCGCACGATACATTTTCACTAAGTGTCGAGGACATTAAAAATTGATTAAAAATTATTAATTTTTGGAATATCGATCTAAAATTGCATATGTAGGTTAAACTTGAATAGAACTATCGGAAACTTGCTAAAAATAATGATATTCAATACGTGTTTTAGTACTTTAGAGGAAAGAGTGTCGTGTCAGATTCGCGAAGTTTGCATTTTTTCGATTTCAATTTTAATATAAGAAACGCGAAAGTCTTTTTAATTTTTATCAGGAATTGTAGAACTATAAAAAGTGCTATTAAAATTCTTAGTATTTAAATACTATTCTAGTATTTTTTTGAAATTCGTAGTCGTGCCAGTTTCACAGACACTCGTTACGGGACGTAATGATGACCGTCAGGTCGGTGTAATTAGATACCCGACTGTCAAATAATGCGAAGCATTTATAATTACGTATACGAATACATCGCGGTAATTCAATGTTGGATACATTAGTTCCTCTTTTCCGTCAATATTAATGCCATTCGTAATTTATCGTATCAATGGGATATTAATGAGCAGAGACGGATTATATAATAGCACGATGACGTAAATATCGTAGACACACAGGCTATTATTATTTAGGGAGATCATTGATTCGGCCATTTATACTTTACATCGTCAAGCTCAGCTCGAGAGTTCACATAAATTTACAATATTGGATAATATTTTACCTGAATGCTATGAATTATTCGAACAATACATGATAAATGAGAAAATTCATAATATGAGAAAATTCATATATAAAATGAACATTTATAACGAATAATTTCGCTAATATTACCAAAGATAAAATAATATTTTTTCATATTTTTTATATTTTTGATGCGATTATATGATTATTAATTATCTGAAATAATTATTAATTATACATTAACACGCAAATATATAATCAATATTTCTTCTTCTAATAAAACTGATCTCGTGTAATTCAATTATTATATTATAATCGATAAAAATTACATTTTTTATATATATTATATACATTAAAAACCTTTTTGCTCCCATTAATGTCATATATATGCAATAATACCGGTAAATAAGTTATGAATATTGACGAAATGATGTTATAATGACTGTACGCAACTATTCTTAAGAATCCTTTAGTTCGCTCTGTTTCTTATATACGTATTACACAGGAAGTCTCGTTAGGTGAAATGTATACGTATACATGTTGCGTTTTTCAGTTTATATATATAATTCTCTTTGAACGGTAACTGTATCATGTTATGTTCTTGTTAGTAAAACGCAAGAAATACAGATTAGCCCATGAAAATGCATTTTCGAAGAGTTGTCCCTTTAGGCAAGCTTCTCTCACATTCCATTATCATACAATAATATTAATTCATCAAAAAACAAGACTTTATTATTTGAATTTTATGTAGCTAATATTATCTAATCATCGAATTAAAATATTATAAACTGCGAAACTATATGTCTTCTTGTCCGAAAAATTATTTGTATCCTTAAGAGAGAAAATTAACAAAATTAAAATATTTGGTTAAACATTTCAAAAAATTCGCATATAATTATATTTTACTTCGAAAATTACAATATTCCAGAACAATGGAGCATCTCTAATAGAAATTCTCTCGAGAAAAAATATCGATTCTCGTCAAAGAATATGCTACAGATAAGAAAGAAATAAAATCTCCGATATCTAGTAGATCACAGAAGGAAACTCGATATACTATATAATATATAAAAATGGAATATTTATCTCCAGTGACTGGGAGGAGGACTATCGAAATTGCTAGTGATACAATAGTCTGGTTTATGCAGAACATACTGCCTCGTTCGTTCCTGTGTGGGTGGTCTGTGTGAACGAATAAGGAGGCTTCCTCCATTCAGAACGAGCGAATGGAAAAGCGGCTTTTGGACGACTGTGAGCGTCCGGAAAATATAAAAAGAGGCCTGGAAGAGAACGTTACGTGGGTTTCGTTTAAACCTCTCACACACAGCATCCGTCCTATCCTCCGTCTGCTGCACTTCAATAGATTTTATTCCAGTCAAGGCTGATTGCATTTTGCTCAATATTAATTTCACTTGATGATGCAATTTCTTCCAGTTAAATACTTTGACGATTTTTTCTAACTATTTAATCTTTAGTAATGGATATTTTAAATATCGATTCAATTTCTCTTTCTCTCTCTCTTTCCCTTGAATCAAAATTCTAAAATAGATTTTCTTTCAAAACAGACTGTTAATTTATTTTTCTTTTATATTATATTATATATATTTAATTTAGCTTTTTAATTTTTTTCAATTATACATATCGTGAAAATTTAAAAAATTTCACACATTAAATATATTATATACTTAATAATGTTAAATAATAATTCTATTAATAATTTAAAACTTATAAAATTTTAAGTAAAAATAGATACAAAATGTGTAATCAAATATAAAATTTAAAAATATATCTAGTAAATGCATGGCTTGTTTGATTTAGAAGTTATGAAGATTAAACGCAATATATATTTCATAACTATTAAACGAAAACGATCTCTCTTTTTTTTCTTCTCTTTTTCTCTCTTATTTGATGATAAAAATGTCTAAATAGAATAAACAGTTAAACCAGAAGATGATTATTCTTTTAACGAGATTAACAAAGCGCTTGAACAAAACCTTTTCAGTTGGAAAATGATTTTGCAGTTACTAAACATAAAGCAGCGAGTTTGTTCATGAAAAGGCCGAGAATGGGGCTTTTCGGGAAAATCCACGGGTGGTTTCAGTATAATCCGAGTTTGCGTTCCCCTGGGGGGAGACAAGCAACCCGGAATTATATTGTTATCAGGGACATTCGAGACGAAACGATACTCACTCGCAGGATTATATTCACACGTAGCCAAAGAGATAACCAGACACAGTCACTTTTCTACATTTCGCAGAGCCAGTTTTGCTTCAGAGAACGCGAAATTTTGTTGAAATTAGTTTCGCGTCAGCCAGAATCAATGTCATAAAATACAACTTTCAGTGTTTTAATTAATTAAATTCTAATTATCACGAACAGTGGTAAACAAAATTTTAAATATTATACTTTGATATTTGGAACATTGTGTAAGTAAATGCAAATGTAAAACTGTTCAATTCATAAATAAATAAATTACGAACAAAAAATTCTTTTTTTTTAAACAAATTACTTCTAAACAATTAATTTCTCTAAACAATTATATAAAATAAATGGACTAATTTATATCACAATGTGAATAAAGGAGAGCTACGCAATAAGGTACTGATGCTATTTTATGAGCACGCTTTACTTGCGTAAGCACTTCCATATAAGCAACGTTTTATGGAGCGGTCTGAAACTGCTAATAAATACCAACCAATGTTACATGGTTCAGTGGGGCACTATATCTAAATTAACTGTTAACTGTTACCAACAGGTAATGCAAGAGTCCGAATATTTGGAGAATTATGTTTAGAGAATACAGAGCACGTACCTTTCACCGTAAGAGCGCCATGGGATATTGTACAGTAGCATTCATAAATTCCGAAATGTATCGCTTCATAGAAATGATCTTCAACTAACTTTCGAGAGCTTGCGTTCTATATTTTCCCGTATCTTCGCTGCTAACTTGCATTATTTTATCTGGAAGAAATAAATGTCAGATAAATTTAATTTTATTGTCAAACTTTGTTTCACGTCGGGTAATTTATTTTATTTTATTGCCAAATTTTAATTTTTTTTTAATTCAACTTCAATATTCGTTGCTTTTCACAGACTGAAGATAATTATTCATTAATTCAAGTCTAATTCCTCGCTTCTCAAATTAGAGATAATTATTCACATTTTAATCATCTAATTTTAATCATTTAATCATTTTTGTTTACTATGTATTTTTTATTATTGAATGTAATTGCATTATAATTACTATAAAATTAAATATATTTAATTTATGTAATTATATACATGTGCAGTATTACATTAATAAAATTATAAAATATTGGAATAATTGTTAATTTACGTATTTAATGATAAAATCCAATTTGCTCGATTTATCTCTTTATTGCTCAATATCATCAAAAACTTGGAATTTTACTTATTTATGAATGCCATAATTATACGAAGCTGTTCACTGTTCGACATTGATAACAAAATGAAATTATCCTGATCAGGGGAAGAATATCTTCTTAAATAAATCGTAAACATTTTTTTATTATACTTTATTACTTATTGGAAAATAATCGAATGTAGATTCGGAAAATGGGATATCGATCGAGGATTGAAGTTGTCACTGGCTAGGTAATTAGACGAACAGGCTCCTGATTAAACGGCACTGTTAAACGGCACTGTTCGCAACGAATTACCAAGCCAGGTTGATACCAAGCCTACATGTGTGCATATATGTGGCAAGCGCACCGACGCGTCGGAAGAGGGTGGTCGGAAAGAGAGGAAGGGGGTGGATAGGTCAGATAATTGCAATGGCGGAACAATGGGGAATTCGGGAGCATTTCCGCCTCCGGCCCGGAACTAATAATGTCCGTCGCGCTTACCGCCGCACAAACGAGCGAAAGATTGTTAACTGATCCTCCCGTTTGTACATACCCTGTATCCGTGTATCCCTGTATCCGTGTATCTGAATACGCGCCAGCGAATTTTACGAATTGTGCATTGCCAAATATGTGCCTCGATGCGAACGAGCCTTTTTTTCTTCTTTCATGCCGAAATAAAATCGATGCTTAATAACAAAGGGAACGAGGTATAATATGCTTCCGAATACACACAGGAAATATGATACAGTTCTACGATTCTGCAATTTCCGATTAAATATTGATCAGAGAGACATTGATAATACAAAATATTTTTTAGCTTTTAAAGTAATACGAACGATAAAATAGTATAAATAAAACAAAGCAATAAAATATATTTTACAGTCATTTTTGAACAGAAGAAAAATTTTCTGTGATATAATTAATATCACATGCACTTACACGTCAAATATTTTAAAGCACGTAAAATAAATTTATTATAATTTCTACTATTGCGTATTTTAATATGTTATATTAGACGTATTTTAATATATTAATTCCACGAGGAAAAATTTGAGGATAACTCGGGATACAAAATTCAGTGTATATTCAGCGCACGAAAGAAACGACCTCTTATTGTTCTTAAAATAAAAACCGATTTTAGCGACCAAGGTTTCATCGCCGGAAGCGAGGGGACGTGACAGGCGAGCGAACATTTCTATTGGAAAACTGTGCATACCCGTCCAGAGTAATATTTCGCGGGTACTTTCGCGAGTTTCGGTTTTCGTAACGCCAGACACGTATTGCGTATCCATCAACCGCACAAGCGAAACGCCCTTTTTTCCCTCTTTAATGGTCCACGTACTTTCTGCGTTACTATAAGATACTGCATAGTTGCCCCTTCAAACTTTTCAAAACGCACAATTAAAACCGAACAAGGATATATATTGTATATTTCCAAAAAAATAATGATTAATGCACAAAGTTATTACTAATATTTCCTCCTCTCCAATCATAGATGCTCTTATATAATATCATCTCTTATTTTTTTATTATTTTTTTATTATTTTTATTATTTATTTATTGCTATCTTGTTAACGTAGTTTCGTAATTTCCTGTTAACAGCTCTTATGAGGAACTTTCAGCGCACTTAATCTAAATCTTCTGTCTAACTATCCGGTTTTCCTGAAAGAACAGCCAAGTTTGCCGGGAATATATTGACAAACTCGCGAAGAAATACCATGGCAAATTGGATGGAATTTTCTATGTTAATTATCTTACAGTTTTGCTGGGGGCGCGATATCGGATGAATGTCGATTCGCCCGTTACGCTCTCATCTTCCGCTTTATCAATTTTTGATGGAGGAAACTGGCCTTTGTTCAGACCTTTAACGGTCTTGCTCTTTGCGATGATTAATCTTTAGTTTCGCAGCAAAAGATTACGATAAATTATGAAAAATAAAATACATTATACAATTAAGTTTTCTCATTTGCACGATAGATAAAATTGAAAAAATATTTCCGGGAAAATAAACAGAATTATATTTTAATTATTTCAGGAAATTATTTTCTAATTGTTCAACATCTGTGCGTATCAGAATTATTTAATTATTCAATTATTGATTTTAAAATTATTACAATATTTATTATATCGTAATTATTGTGGTGCTTTTGTAACTAACATTATAAATAATTTAAATGTTTTTGCAGATGAAAAATAAATTGATTTTATTTTTATATTCCTTTTTTAGTTTGCTCAAACTCTTTTGCGTGTCATATTATTCATCGTATCATTCTAGCTTGTTGGCATGAAAACTTAAGCACGCATTTATAGATTAATTCTCCTTCTCAACGAGTTGTTTGTGCTAAGCTCGTAATAGCGATGCGAGAATCCACTAGAAGACACGTGTAATCGGAAAAGTTCAAGGGTCGATCGAGTTTCGCCGCGTTTTTTTTACCGACTATCTTTCATTAAGAAAAAAAGAAGAAAAAAAGAAGAAAAAAGTTAACACTAATACGAAAAATGTTGAAAATTTGATCTTAGTAATGGAAAAATTTCGACGTAAACTTTCTTACTATAAAGTTTTTACAACAGCAACTACGCAATGAACTTCTAATTACTTTCTACCGGTCGTACGAATTATGGGATATACATTTTATTTCGCGAAGCATCTCCGAATCTCACGAAATTTTGCGAAGAAATATACGAAGCATATTATAATTATAGTATATTAAATATATTTACAGTGTTTCCATAATCGTTTTAAGAAAACTCTAAGATTGATCTAATAATAAGAATTTTATTAATTAACATTATTAAAAATGCAATAAAATATTAAATTGTAAATTTAATAGAAAATTGAAAGAATAATCTTTATATCGAGAATGTAAATCGGAATAATGTTAGGTTGACATCAAAAGACATGAGGTGAAAAGTACATCTCAAATATCTAATTAGAAAATGGAATACTTTGTGAAATCGTCATTTGATATAAACGTACAATGCTTTGAGGGCATATTCTTGATAAAATACCATTCCCTTTGTATATTTAAATGTTCGGATAGCACGAGACTACAATGGTAACAGTAATGGAAAAGGGTAATCGACCAAAATTGAAACCGCTAGAGAAGAAAAGCTCCTCTATGTATGAATATACGCGAAAATAGATATGTAGGTAGATAGATGAGTGGTTAGCCATGTATCGATGAACCAACGATGAATGAATGAAGGAATTTTCTAATTCTTCGTGAATTCGGAGAATAATTGAAAAAATCTCGAGGTCAAGGCTGTGATATATTCCTAGAAGAAAATTCGCGAGAACATAAATTGAACAAAAAATGTTAAATAAAAATAATTATCTTTGATAAATTTGATTGTTACTGAAATGAAAATAAAAACATTACATATACATATAATTACATATTATAATTAACAAATATATATAATATTTTTATAAAATTCGATTAAAAATTATGAAAAGAGAACCAAAATTTCTTTTATACAACGAATAAATTTTGTTTGCTGAATCTCGTAATTATAGAAGTTAGTTATAATGCTTTTCACACTATGAAAGCCCTGTCAAGACTAGTTATTCACGAAATTAATTCACTTCTCATAAGAACATAGCTCCTTCAATCGCAACGTCGTAATGGCTTGCGAGAGACATCAATTATACCAAAGTATCGAGCACTACATCTGCGAGAAATAACAGTGGACGGATTGTAGCGTCCGTCTTTGTCACATTCGTGAATCATGTCAAGTCGGTAGCTTCCGGTTACGAGAACATTGTGTCATTAACAAATAATTCGGCGAGGTCTTTTGTGTATATTTAATTTGTTGTGGGAAGAAAAGACAAATAGACTGTTCGAAAAAGAAATTGGAGGGGGAAGATAAGTTTCGTAATTAAGTAATCTTCCGGCGAGGCAAACTTCCTTGTCTGTTGGTTCGACGCGAGTCAGTTCTCTTCGACGGAATTGCATCCCTGATTAAATTATGTCGAAGCAACCGCGGAAGCGAGTTCTCTGTCGAGGACGGAAACAAGAGAACAATATTGATCCACTTTACTGACACAACGTTTTATATTGTAAAAGAAACAGGTGCGAGAAAGAGATACTTTAAAAATTATTTCGCAAATTTTAACAATATATCATCTTAGAAATTTTACAAGATTAATTTTTCTTCTATTATATATCTATATAATTTGTGAATTATATATATATATATATATATATATATATATATAATTATTATTATAATTATATTATAATTATTTTTCAATATACACAAAATATATTATTTATGTATATATGGAAAATTTTTTTCCTTATAGTACACATATAATATATTATAAACTCGAAGTAAAAAATTTAATTAAAAAAAAAAATTATAAAATATAAAATTTGATTGCAAGAGGGAAGTTAGGCCTCTATTACGTAGATAAAATAATATGATGCTAATAATACTCTTGTAAAGGTCACAAGCAATTAATTAGTTGAAAACATAAATTCTCTCGAGGTTGTTACCATGAAATATAACGGACAATATTGCGTATGTATTTGCACATGTTAACATTTTCAGTCACTCCAAGCAATTTTCTCATACGCCAAAGTGCTCATATTATAAAAAGAACCTATAGCTTTTTATTTCGAAGGAATAAAAGATAATTTACATTCCATGTTTATATTCTATATGGTAATAGCTTGTTAAAAAGTGAATATTAATGAAATTAAACGCAATTTCAAAAGCGAGCTTGCGTGAAAGTAATAGATAAATGTAACTGGGCAAACATAAAATTCATAAATGCTTTAATAATACTAACAAAATATACTGCTAAATTGACTAACAAATTACTGAAGATACGAGATATTTTCTTCATAATATTCAATTGTGAATAATAAATTAATTGAAAATAAATTGACATTTTTTTTACGAATGCGAAAAAAATTCTATTTATATTCCGAAAAATTCAATGAAAATCGAATTTCTACCCCGCGTTTACATATTATTTGAACTATGCGGTACAGATCAATATTGAAATCATATTCGGTATAAAATAATTTGAAAAAAAACTTCGAAAAAAACAAAAAGAGATGCAGTTATCTGAGCCAATTTATATATACGCACAGATACGATTATTGATCGAATAATAATTTGCAATATATTAATGACCGAGTATCACGCGTCATTCAGTTGTATCGAAATCGTTCGAAAATCGAGAGAGAACCGATCGTAAATTATATTATATTGCGGGGATAATATCGAAGAGAGGGGGGGGGGGATCGATGAGAAACATCAGGAAACGCTCAGACATATACAATACCAAACGTGGCGTTCGATTCAACCAGCTTCGATGTATAATCAAGACAAACGATTAATCATAGCCACGTGCTAACGACCGTTGTTTCGACGATCTTATGAGAGATTTCAATACGTTATATGCAACTATAACTGTGACGTTGTCACGGTCACTTGTCATGAAAGCAATCACTTGTTATTTCAATGAATGTTTATCTCAATTGTAACGAGTAATATCTTACAATTATTTAATTATGATGCGAGTAAAATATATTGTTCGCGAAAAAATTTTATTACGTTTATTTCTTGTGTGATGCGTAAAATAAATTAAATGAAACAATAACGAAATTCCATCTACGTTATTTTATTACTCGAAAATAAAGCGTAACGAATGACACAGCTAATAATTATTTATTGATTTTACAAATGAAATATATTTGTTTATGAAAAGATTTATTCCGTTTATTTCAAAAAATTCTGGTGCGTAAAACAAATTTAATGAAACGCAAATAATCGCGAAGTTTCTCATTTGCGTTATTTTATTATTCGAAAGTAAAGCACAACGTTGTAAAAACAACCAGCAACGCAAATTCAATTTTTAAATGAAATCACGTTACCACGAGAAAAGTAAACGCCAATATGCAAAATTCAACGCAATACAAAGAATTTTTTTTTATTTTCCAATTGATTTCCATCTCTACAGTCCTGAATTTTGCTGTGAAATTACAAAATTACTTTGTCGATGAAATGCGAAATATACAACTAAATTATTCCGATTGAATATATCGAATCTTTTCGATATTATATCCATCCCCCCTTTCCCTGAGGATCTTTAATATTAAATGTATCAATCAGATGTAGAATTATGCAATGTACATTTTGTTTTGCGCGATAATATTCACATGGAATTGATCAGAATTCGCTGTTTATCTATCGTGCGAAAGGTACGATCGACCACACACCGGCATTAATTATCGCTGCACATTGAACGTAACTAATAACTCATGACATAATAAAGTACAATTTGCTGCAAAATTCGAATCATCGATCAAGAGAGAAAGAGAGAGAGAGAGAGAGAAAATTAAATTTGTCATAATGTATTGAATCGCGTATATGTATAATGGCAATACACCGATGTTATAATCGTCACTGAGATTTACAGCACTCCATTAGCATACAGAGAATTCGTCTCGTTTTATGCAAATACGCAAAAAGCAGACAGTGTTGTATTTAATACATATACATAAACACACGTGCCAGGTATTTCCATGCTTCGTCCATATAGTCGAATATACCGAGATTAATGCGTACTATTATCTCTAATCACTAATTTATACATGTACATTTCTCTCATCAATCAGTGGAATTAACCGAATTATTAAAGAAAAAAATATTAAATGTTAATAGAAGAATAATAGAAGAATTATAATAGGAGAATTGAAGATAAAATTAACAGAAGAATTAATATAGAAGAATTAAAGATAAAATTTTATGAACGCGTCGGTAAAAATGTAAAAACTTCAATACATTTTTTTATAAATTTTAGAAATACAAAAAAAAAATATAAAAGAATTTTATGTAAATTAATGAAAACATGTAGCATTATAATTGTCGTTCTTAAACAAGGAGAAAAAAATATATTCGATATAAAAAATAGTGTAGGAATGTCCACGCTTTATATGCTAAAACTTTTTTATTAAAAGCGAAGTGTCACGCTCACGTACTTCAAGTTCTTTCAAATAAACGAGGGTACGCTACTCGCTATTCTTGATGAAAAGGGTAAGATTCACTCTCTCGATGAAGTGAGAACTATTTTTTGTAGAGGAGAAAAACCATAGAACGCGCACTTCCATCCCCGCTTTGTCGACTTTTATCGATGCGTGCGCTTGGTCTCCGTGGATTAAAAGCATACTACTGCGCATTTAGGTCACTGTGCACATAAGGACATTTATCTATTATTTTTGCACAGTGCACAGCAATTTCGAATTTCTGAATTTCAAACTTTAAATGACATTGTATTTCACTGTCATTGCCAACAAGTGTTAAAAATTTAATTTGTATTATTAAAAGTCATTTGATCTTATCAAACCTTCGCAATTTGTTACAGCCATTTTCATTAAGAAAAGTGTTATGTGATGTACAGTAATACATAAACACACGTGCCAGGTATTTTTATTCTATATAGTCAAATATACCGCGACTAATACATACTATTATCTCTAATCACTAATTTATATATATCTCATCGATCGACAGAATTAATCAATTAAAGAAAAAAATATTAAATAGAAGAATAATAAAAGAATTAATACGAGAATTAATACAAGAATTAATAAAAGAATTAATACAAGAATTGAAGATAAAATTAATGAGAAAATTAATAAATGAATTAAACATAAAATTTTATGAACACGTCGACAAAAACATTAACCTTTGATAAATTTTTTCCATGAGAAATATTCTATGTTTTAAAATATACAGTTGCAATTTTAGTCTAAATATATTTTTATTAAAGAAATAATATTTGTCTCAAGCAGAAATAATATTTAAACTTTCGATCAACGATTTACTCCGCAATTTTAAGAAAAAAAATTACGTATTTTAAATATTTAAAGAAAAATTAAAAAATTAATATGATGTATTCAATTTTATCAAAATTTTCTTGAAAATTGCCTTTTAAATAATTGTAATTTTCCGCATTTGCGCACGCAAATGTGCAAAGTTTGATTTCAACATGACAAAAGTAATTGTATCTAGGCACATTTGTACACGAACGTGCAAAATTACAACTCCGGAATTTCAGAGCCACATTCAGGTTAATAAGTAACGAATTGCAGAGCATTCGCAAACTTGTTACTACAATTTCATTAGCCCATGTTGTGCATTAATGCAAAATGCGCGATTTGTGTAGTTTCGTATGTGTATGTGAGCATCGCTGAACAAATGAATCGTATAATTTCGGCACATTAACTTTGCTGCAGTATTAATTTCAAAAACAATACGGTAGCCAAGAATATGCACGTATTAAAATATCATTAAAATATCAAGAATCTTCATAAGGCAAAGAAAGAAAGAAAGACATTTCAATTATCTTATCACTGTACATGTAAGATTAATTAAAGATTTCTGACGAAATAATCATGAAATAATTATGATTTATAATAATGTGTATTATTCTTATAATATTTTATATCAATCATCATTTTGCTTCTACGCAACATTTATATGACGTATATTTATGCGTAGAGAAAAATAATTCTCTGAATAAATATTTGTTAAATAATTCTCTGAATAAATACTTGTTAAATATTTCTCTGAATACTAAAATCTCCCCGGATTTTAGCTTAAGACTAGCTCGTGCTAATATCACGTATAATAAAAGAGCCTGACATTTTATAAAAGAATTCCTTTCTTCCTTTCTCCTGATTACGATATCTCTCGCCGCCGGCTTTCACGTGAGCAAGCGTGACGTAATCTCCCGCGACCGCGAAAGGCATATAAACAACAAGATTACACCAACTATTATACTCACTTTTATTGCCGCGCTTGTGGATTCGATGACAGCCTCACCGTCTCTCTGTCTCCTCAACGTGGACATGCGGGATCCATAAATAGAGGAGATGTGGACGTGCATCACATCCCGATCACGCGAGATGAACGCGCCGACGTCTCGTTGTCGCACTGTTCGTCAATTCAGCACCCGCGATCGCGCGCGCACACGAGATCGAACGAACGAGAGTAAACACGAATGGAGATGCCACGTGATCGCATCGGATCGGGTGGCGCCGTGGCAGCTTTCACAATCCGGCTTTGTCGCAAGGACGCGTTATGATTCTCGGGCGCGCCGCCTCCGAGAGTCGGCTCGCTCTTGAGTTTCGCACGCTCTTCTTCCCCCTCCCCGCCCCTTCGTCCTCTTACCGAATTATCGGTGCGATCCAACGATGACGAATCGACGTCGCGACGTGCATGTCGACGACGATGCGCGGATAACTGTTGTTCACCTGGACGCTTGTTGTAGAACGAGAGAGACGCGAAACTTTCCCGGACAAGTCCACCGCGGAGGACATCTCGTCGCGCGACTGTCGCGACTGCGAGCGGGCGCCAGCGTCCGCAGCGGCGCCGACGGAAATCTGGCGCGCTGATTGGCCGGGGCGCCGCGGGCTGTTTGACAGGCGAGCCGGTCACGTGGCGATATCTGGCGGCGCCGATGGATTTCTCGCGATTGTCGGCGAAAGATGAAAGACTCGGTTTATGGTAAATTTGATCTCCCAGATTTGCTCTCTTCCATCTTCCTTCGAGATAAAGAAGTATTCTTCGAAAACGGGCGCAATACTAATCATTTTATTTCGAGATGAAATTATGACATAATGATGGAAAGTCAATCTTTTCGGATACAAAATAAAAAAAATATTATTTCTTCAACGTATATTGTTTAATTAATTTCCTTACTCGATTTTTCACATGCAAATATATAATTATTATTTAATTTTATTTCAAAGATTTTACAATACTACTTGTAAACACGTTTAGAAGAGGAATTTGTTAATGTATGAAGCGTTTTATATCATTACTTTATGACTCGAGTGTCACAATGATAGCAAGATTGTGACATGTAAACAATAGCGCGCTATTCGCTACCAAGGCTGAACATAATGTGTTATTGATTTGCTGCTGAAATATTTTGCGTATAACACATATACACACATACATACATATATGTATATATGTGCAAGTATCTATAGTATATAAATAATTATACATATACGGAATATTAAATTATAGAATTATTTTTAATTTATAAATTAATTAAACACTCGATTGATATATCACGTAACATTTCTCTAATTTCTTGAATCTATTATTCAATTATATTACTTATGTATTTTTAATCCGTGTGTTTAGATCGTAGAAAAGTAAAACGATAAAACGCGCATTGCGGACAAAATATATTTGATTCTAAGTATCATTAAAGAAATAATCATAAAAATATTTATTATTGCTATAGAGTTAGAAGATATTTTAAATATACTTTAAATAAATAGAAATCATTCAGTGAATTAATTGCATAATACACATTAATTGTGTTATAACTTTTTAGTTGAAAATTAAAACAATATAAATAATAAGCAAACATTTCTTTCTTACGTAAATGACGTTGATAGATTTAATCGCAATACATCATAATATATTAAGTGCACCTTCTTAGTAAATAGACTTTCAAGAAACTCGGAACTACACTGATATTATATATAATTGCGTGTGTAGTAATTAAAATGATCAACCTGTTCTTTCATACTTTCGGTACGACATCTAAACGACTAAAAGCGAAAGAAAGTATTTATATTTTTTGTTTTAATTTTCACCTGCATATCGAATTCGGAGTAAACGACCGATGTTCGATCGAGCATATTATATATATTTTTTACAGGGAATCAAAAATAAAATAAGAAGTCTAGACCACCAATAAAACGCGAAATGTTTCGCGAATCCGACTTGGTGAAATCCATGTTTTTTATTAGATTCGAGAATCAAGAAACTTATTGGCTATCGATCGAGTTCGCATGGAGTATCTAACAAATTTAGCTCAGCAATTCGTGCGGATTATTGAGGTCAAGAAATTCGGAATGCAATCAATAAATTGTAAGATGTATTACACGGATATTACTCGTTACAGATATAACGATTAAACACAAATTAAGTGTAAATATAATCAATGAATTTTTTTACAGATCTATTCTATATAAAGCGGTGTCCAAAATAATTGAGTTTGTAAAACTAATTATTATACTGAATATTATGTATCTTATATTTCAAATTAACATTAAAAAATAATCTATTATAGGCATCAGAAGATTATAATGTGCGACAGTATTTATAGTAAAATTTTATAAAATTTAAGTAAAAATATTATCGATTTATCAATATTCAATTAGTAATAACGAAAAGAATGCGTTATTCTATATTACTACATAGATTTATCTTTCATTTGTACTTGCCGCTTTTAATATAAATTTTCACATCTCTAAGTGTCTCGTTATGTTGTTGCATGTCTATCTTTTAGTATTTTTCGGAGTAGATCTGTCATATTTTTTGAAACAAACTTGCTAGAAGCGCAGAGTAATTCGTGAATAAAATTGTGATTTAATAAACGATGAGATAAAACGAGATCTTTATCGTCATTTAGCTCCTCATCTCTCAATTCGTCGTATATGCGCGCTATTCCTTGACGAAGACTCATAGAGGTTTGAAAAAGATTTGGTTGTGATGCAAGCCACGGTAAACACGTAGACAAAACCGTCTAAAATGAATCATTGAAAAACTGTTAAATAAAATTATCATTCTCAAAAATCAAAAATCAAAATTATACCAATATATTTACATAATTTATAATATTGTTAATACGATGTAATATTATTTTTCTAATTTAAATATACCTCATTCAAACTTTAAACTAAAATTTAATATATAAATTTTTTATAATATAAATTTAAAATTCATGTTTCTGGCTAAAGAATAGTTTTCATCAGTAAAGAACAAAATAATTATTTAAGGTTATTCGCAAGAGTAATTTACAAATAAATTTACCAGACAAACATCCCGTGGCAGCCAAAAAATTACTCTTTCATCTCGCTGAATCATTTCTTCGGGCGCTTCATCAGCTGACGGAGATGCAATCTGCGGTTCGTGTTCGTATTCAGTGAATACCAACAAATCTTCTACAACTAAGTGTTCCACTATTTCTTCCGGTGGCAAAAGTTCAGCTGGATCTATCTCGCCCATTCCGTTTAACTGCTGTATCAATATTCGACGTTTCGGAGGTAAATCATGATCATGAATTTTTTCAAGCGTAACGACAGCCTTTGCTGTTCTATTTAATATGTGATTGATAATTTCTCGTACTATCTGAAACCAAACATATCACTATTTTTATTTAACCAAATTAATTTTTATTCGAGCTTCTTAATGTTTTTTTATATTTATGATGTAATATTTTATATTAATGAACATATATTTTTATTGATTTTTTATCACAGTTACATTTGATTTAATTATGATCATATTTTATTTTTATATAAAACAATAATATTCTCTCAACCATTCACTTTAATTATTAGTTCAATAAATATCTATGATGCTTTATAAACGCTTTCAACATGAAAACATTTTATTTTGTTCTTTATTTCATTTTAATATTTATATTATTTTAAATTTACATTATTTTATTTGTATTAATTTAATGTATTTATTTATTATATTTATTTAATTTATTGCAACTCTCTATTTAATCATAAACGAAACAAAGCCAATTTCAAACATAATTGCATAAATTAGCTAATACAAATTTTATAAATTACCTCATTAGCTTCCTCACGAAGATAATCTTGACTTAATTGTAATTCCCTATCACGACGCTTCTTCTCAATAAGTTCCTCGACGTATTTTTCACCTTCTATTACATCGGTACAAATTCTAGCACCCATCGTAAGAGTAAATGCTTTCCCGAGACCTTCGCGAGGATCTTCATCTTTGCAAAAGGCTAACAACATTGCGGTATAATGAATTGCGTTTCGATTTATCAGATACATTTGACAGAGAAGTTCCTTTGCCAGCGTTAGTCTCAGCTCTATTGCGCTGCCAAAATAATTTCCCGATCAATTTTTCGCAAATATAATAATTCACAAAAAATGAGAAATGAGAGATTTTTGTGGATTTGTGAAAAAAAATTAATTGGAAAATTAATCGAAAATATTTGATAGCATATAGGGAAGATTGATCGGAAGCAATTAACAAAAACAATTAATCAAAAAATTGCTCGAAAATTAATTAATAAAAAATCGTTCAAACAGAAAATCAAAATTAATTTAAATAAAAAACTTTAATAAAACTTTAATATTTCATTCAGATTTCGATATTTGTTTTCAGGATGCACGTAGTAAATTTTTATTAATTTTACGTTCGAGGGGTTTTTATTTCGCCGAATTATGATCGAAGAGCTGTGCTCCACGCACCCAAAATTATCCTCACTCGTTTCTATGAAATTGCTCTTTATATTCGAAATACGCTCGCCTAATCGGACTTCCTCGCGTAACATTACATTCATTGTCTCGTTGCAATCAATCCCCTCTTCCAAGAATGTCTTATGAAAAGTAGAAATCTCTAGAAACCACAACGGCGTCGAGTGGAACTGATCGCGAGTAATCGTCTCCTTTAGATCAGAATCCTGCATCCTAAAAATCGTTCGCGCCTTCAAGATATCCTGATGAGATGGGAAAGGCAGATCCATCGCATACACAACGAACTCTCGCCATTCGATGTATTCTGTAGCGCCAAACAACTCTTCGATCAGTTTCTCGATATCCGGAGGTCGCAATTGTTGCCAAACGCACGGCACGAAGGGCGGATAACAGTCCTCCTCGCCGCAGGATACCAGATCCTGGAGAACGTAAATCAGAGCTCGCTCGCTCATGATTCCGCGCGGAGCAATTCGTCGAAAAATGTCTATCAGTCGACTGAGTTGAACCATACGGAATCGCAGAGGCGAAGAAACTTCTTCGGTCGGGATAGCAAATCGTTTGGGATCTTCGGGAACGAAATCATCTAATCTGACGACAAACTGATCACCGTCCAATAGTAATTCCTGTTGGATCGGTTTTTCCTCTTCGATGGCAAAGCAAAAAACATTCGTCATTTCGTTGATGCTTTCGATTTCGCGTTTGTATCTTAAAGAAAATAAAATATGTGTATGTGTGATATTGTGTATTTGATTATTAAAGTATAATTAACAAACAGTACTCTCTACGATATTTAGTATATATCATTAGTAAATACACAACAATGATTTAACATCTTAAAATTCAGATAATTATAATATTGCCATTTAAATCATAAAGAAATAATTTTTACCAGAATCCGATAATTATTTTCCTGAAATTATTATTGCTTTTAAACGTTTCAAAAATAAATTAAACTACTCTGTAATAAATACACAAAGCACATTTGCATTGCAAAGTGTTTCTGTTTCAAATTTACGTCTCCATAATTTAAAATATTACATTCGTTTCGCAATTTTAGCTTTTATTAAAAATAAGAAATATAATTTAATAAATAATTATAATTAGCACCAACCTTTCAATAATATGATGGTAAACACCATGGAAAACCTCTTTCATAGTATCTAAAAGGAAGATGATGTTGAATCGAGCAGCCGCGTTTAGAACATCTAATCTCTGATTAATACGATCGATTTCAAAAAGAACGGCATATCGCCATTCCTCAATTAGATCGCGATTTCTTTCCGCTAGCTTGGCAAACGTTGAATCGGGCGATGCATTTCCGATATTTTTGCTTTTAACATCACTCTTTGAAATCGCGATTTTCTCTTCGTTCTTCAGCATTTCCAATGTCGTAGACGAGATCGAATCCACGACATTCTGTACTTGTCGAATATTATCCTTGATAATATTATAAATGATACTTTGATCAGGATCAAAGCTCTTCGATGTATCGATTAGCAAAGTTTCGATCTCAGTTTTGAAGTGATGTATATTTAAGGCTTTACGAGGGGAAGCGTTGGTCGATTCAATCTTTGCCAGCATTCGCTCTTCATCTTCGAACAACGAGGTTTCCAGAAGAATATCCGTCAATGCGACGTGATCAAGAATGATTTTGGAGAATCGCGGTTCCTGAAGAGGTTTCTGCGACATGGAGATATAGTAATCTTGCAAAAATTGCATAGTTTCAATGAATCTATCAACTTCCGCTTGCAAGATTCCAATATACACGTTGACAAGAATCACGGCTTCCACCGGAATCCATTTATTCTGCAGAGTGTATTTTCTTTCTTCTTCAGCTTTATGTCTTCTCGCATCACACAAATCCCATAATTCCATTCGAAAATCGTCGACCTAATGCCAGAACTTTTAGATCCTCAACAATGGAAAGATTATATATTGTCTTTATTTTTTCGAAGCATTAAGAGCCTTCAAACAGTTTTAATTATTAAAGTTAATTATTAAATTTTTAATGATTAAATTAAGATAACAATGATTTGATTTAAAAAAAATGAATTTAACAGCAAATTGCGCTATCCTAATTTTCTTTACACATGCTTTATTATTTATATTTAATAATGTTTAATTATATTGATCCTATCAAAACTAAAAACTGGCTATCATTTAGTATATATATAATATTTACTACTGTATTATACTTCTTTTATTAAAAATTTTTATTATACTTCTTTTATTAAAAATTACTGACTCGGCAGTGCAGCTCGCATTTCATGTCGGGGTCATCCCTGAGGTCCTCATCGATTTCATTAAAAGCGCGTTGAAAATCTCGCAAGAAGATTTGCCGTTCATCAGGACGTTCAACGAAATTCATCAAGTTTCTCAGGATGAGATTTTTATAGGGTACAATGGCCGACGTATGCATTCTCTTCAAAGAGAGAATCTCTTTCAAATTCTCAACATAGGCCTCTTCAATACTCTCCCAAAATGTAGCCAAAATTTCAAGTAAGGCTGGTGGTTGAAAGAAATTTATCCATTGCCAATCGTCTTCTCCAGGTTTAACATGACTGTTTGCTAATTGCGTTTGAACTTCCGGTTGCAAGTCGCTGCTCTCAACTTCGATATCTTTCTTCTTTTCATACTTCGAGGTTTCCCACTTAGATTTCGGTATCAGGCATTTAATAATGACTTTTGAATCAACAGGAAATCTCTGTTCATCATCATATGTCTCTGAAATCTTTTCAAAACGTTCCAATTTCTTTTTGGGGATTTGATCCGCAATAAATTCGGCTAATTGTTTCAACGTCGAAAAATCGAGAATGTTGTAGAAAAATCCGTATGCTATATTTTCATTAGCGTAATATTCGTCTATTGATGTAGCATCGTCGGGTAAAGGTATAGACAATTGATCTTGATCTATTATCTTTGACTTTAACATTGCCTTGACATAGATTGTAATAAACGTCGAGGAGCTATCTTTTGCTCTGAAAATTGGATTCGGCAACAATCTAGACTGCCTGTATCAACATTTATATTTTAATAACTGTTATAATAACTGTTTATATTTAATTGCTTATATCTTAATTTTTAAAAAATTTTTAATATTTAATAATTATTGGATTATTAAGTAAACATTAATGTATTTTGACAAGATAATGATCAAATAAAATTAATTGCAACATGATTATATAAAATCAATCTAATAATTTACTAATAATAAATAAATCTAAATATTATATTAATCAATAATTTCAATAATATTAATATTTAATTAAAATATTTTTTGACATTCATTTATATAATATTATTTATATTTATATTTTTATATTATTTATATCATTAATTATATATATAAAACATTATAAGTATTTTATAATTTTGACATTAAATAATTAGACGCGCCTGTATGTCGCGAATACGTCTTCATGACCCTTAAATACAATCCTGGCTGATGGAAGATCAATGTCCTCAATATTGACGTCCGCGTTGATAATTTTGTGATTAGCAGGAATCTCGCGTCCTGTCAACGCTTTCTCCAACATTGCCATCTGTTTATATGTGTTAGGATAATTTATTAACGCCCAACCTTTGACGTCTCCAATTGCTTTTAAGTATTCAATTAGTATTTTCGTATTCAATTCATCGGAAATCGGTTCACCCAATGTGAGAAACTCGTAAGTCCATTTGCCTAAATATAGCAATCAAACCAATCGTTTTACAATAAAAATAAATATTGTTTTAACAATATTTTTATAAAAATCTAATGACCAATATCAATCATTAGAAAATTAATAAATAAATGTTCAGATATTAATGTCTAATGTTATTTCTCATAAAATAAATCTGTATGTATTAAATATATCTGTGTCTATAAAACAAACTGATATTATTATCACAAGTTACGACTCTAAAATTAATGCGATAATGAAATTATTTTATCAATATTGATTTTTATAACATTTTTATTTCTAAATTTTTCTACCTATATAAGCAGTATTGCTTAAAACTGGGTCCATATCATCATAAGGTATTTGTCTAGGTGTCTGCGTTTGTTTCTCCTCTGCTGCGCTCTGCTGAGATGTTATTATCTTTGTTCTTTTTTCGTTCTTTTTTTGATGATGGTCCCACGAATCATTCATCTTACTCTTGGTTTCTAATTTTTTGAGGTCTCTTGTCGTCGCCGAGATGATGTTTAAATCAATATACTCTACATTAGCTACTTCCTGCTTATATCTTTCCAAACAATAGTTAATCGCATCTTCCATTCTCAGCAAATGGATTCCGTGGTTCTTTAATAATTCTCGTAACTGTTCGTGCAAGGTTGGATTTACTATTCCCGAGATAATAGCCGCAACTTTAACTCTTGGTACCGGACAACTCAACTCACTCGAATAAGGATATAATATTTCTAGTAACCGATGAACGATGTAGCCAAGTACAATGCCACCCAATCTGATAACTTCTTCATCTTTTTCTTCTTCCTTCGACACGAATTGATCCCATGGTAAGCTTAGATCTCGATAACTTTCAAAATCTGTATCAGCCAGAGATCGCTGACGTTTTAATTCCAGTTGAATTAGCTTCTGTTTTTCCTCAGTTTTCAATTTCTTCTTGATTTTTATCTCTTCTTTGTTTTTTATTTTTTCTTCATTTTTCATTCCTATTTTGTCTTCTATTATTTCTTTATGTTTTGTTTCTTCTTTGTTTTTTATTTCTTCTATATCTTCCATCTGTTCATCAACATCATCGAGATGTTCCTCGAGTTCGAATATTGGTTGATTTCTCAGGAACGACGTTTTCCATTCATTCCATATGGAATAAGGAATATGATTATTATTCGCTTGACGATAGTCAGCCATCTTTACTGCGATATCTGCGAGATCTTGCATGATTTTCAAACAAATGTCTCGATGTTTTTCCCTTATTCTACGCATCTTAAAATCAATCAGATGTTTTACAATTGCACATTTCTCCATAATAATAAAATTATTTTATAAAAATATATATCATTATTAATTAGAAATATAGTGAAATATGTTGATGGTAACAGATTCTAATTAATAATAATATATATATCTCTTAAAAAAATAATTGCATTACTATGTAAATGAATGTTCAAATGAAAAACATTTAATTGAGATTTATAATATTATTAATTATAATAACTATGCGTTCATTTAATGTTTCTTTTTTTCACTGTATTATTTTTATACTCATCTTTTATTCTATTTACAACGTAATGAAAAACTCCTTCCCCACATTCATTATCACTCACCTTTTCTTCGCGAATTCTCCATCGAAGCTCACGCATTCTGTGGCTTTCCATTTCCACGTTTTCCATCTCTTCCTTCATTATCTCTCGACGACGATCCTCCTTCAATCGCAGCTCGTTTTCTCTAGTGTTTAGCAACATTGCGTCAACGATTCTGCGGTTCTCTACAATTCTATTTCTCAAATCTCGCACCTCGCACAGCTTCCTCATCATCTGTTTTTCATAGCGCGATTGATCTAGCACTCGCCTGCCGAGAGCTTCGTCGAAAGACCTATCTTGTTTCCTCAGCAATTGCTCCCAAGCTTCTGTCATCATTGTCGTTTGTATCTTCAACTTGAGCGCGTGAGATTTTGTCGCTTTTTCACTGCGCCTCTTCAGTAAGTCAATATATTCCGTAGCGGCCGCGGAATCTTTGATACAAGGCATTTCCAACGATTTTTTTTCGGGGCAACATTCGACTACGCGGTATCTTTTCATCTTGTGAGGCGGATGTTTGCGAGCAAACTCATCCAGTGCCTCGCTCTCTATCTCCTTCTCATCCGGTAACACTTCCGGAATAAAATGTTCGATCGGTTCGACTATAGGATATTTCATGAGGGCTTCGAATCGTTGACGTTCTCGTCTGCAAGCTTGCGTAATCGCCCAAAATTTATTTCTATGCCAAAGAACGGTATCGGCTGCTTCGATTAACGGTTGTGAAAGAGGATGTTCGGGTGGGTGATAGGAAGGTGGCTCCTCGGATACTTTGGAGATGTCGAATCTGCTCGGCATATATTTTCGCTCTTTCTGAAGAGCAATGAAATGCAATCGATCCTTACCTTCAAGACTCAGATAGACCTTATAATAGAGCTGCAGAGCTGCTGCACCTTTACCCTAAAGTATTGTTTATACAAAAATAAGTTCAATCTCTAGAAGAGATAAACGAATTAACGAAAATTGAAATAGAAATTTATTTATCTGACTAGGAATAATATCTATGGATTGATAAAAGTATAATATGATTTCTGGTAGAAATAACATTTACTTGAAATTGATTAAAAAATTGTTAAAAATATTTTTTTCGTATTTTTTTCCTTATACGATAATTTTAATTCTTTTAAATTATTTCTCTCTTTCTTGCGTTCTCTATTTCTTTTCTGTAAGCAATACTTTAGAAATTTTGTCGATACATTCGTCACTCAGTGTAACGTTGATGAGCTTTAGCCAGATTCGTAGAGTCCTCAGGTTCACTCTGCATAACGCCGGGTCCTGCGTACGAAGAATGGTGCTTAATTGATTGCTGCTTATTATATCGTAGCTGTGCAGGATCTGGGCCAGCAAGGTGCCGTCTCTGGTGTAACGACCGAACATCTCAGGGGTGAGATCTATGATTACACCTAGCCTCGTACGTAGCCATGCCCTCAGCGCATCGGCCATTATTGGAGATTTCAATAACTTCGCGAAATTTCCAATGTTTCAGGATTAGAAATTGTGAAACGCGCGTCTTCGACGTGATCGAGACATTGCGACTTGACAATTGTGAACGATACGAAATTAGCATTATGTATACAATACACTTGAGAATCGATTATACTAATGATAAAAAATTGTCAAATGATTTTCTCTGAGAGAATGAAAACTCAAACAACGGAATGTAATAATATTTGCATATTTGTAGTTTTCAGATTTAATTTTTTCTGATATTTAGGCTTATAGATTTAATATTTTCGAAACTTTTTTATTAAAATATCATTTTCGAGAAATTTGTGCTTTCATTAATTTTATATTTGTAAATATTGATAAATTTCATATTATTCATGCAATTAATATATGACAAATTCTTAAAGTTAATGGGCTTAGCTCGTAATAATCTCTTCGTAATGAGATCTAGGCAATCGCTAATATTCGAGACGATAAAAGAATATTAATACGATAATAAAATATACACACATATATAATAATAAGATATACAAGATATACATGTATAATATACATGTATAAAGTCAATTATATCAAAATATAAATGATGTGCACATTTTATTTTTACATAAGCATTTTTATCGTTATGAATATCGATGAGTTAACGGCTGTGACAGATATTGCAAAATAAAATGAAAGCATTTATTATTTAATTGATTATAAAATATAATTAACACAATTATCTACCTTTTGAATCCAACGAAATGATGTTACAATCCTTTCCAATATTTAATAAAAATTTCAATATAATTAAAATTTGTTGTAAAAGCGTTTCGCCAGCAAATAGATTTATTTTTATAAGCTTTTATAAAATATATATTATTAGAAAAAAAAGAAGAGAAATATGCTGTAAAGGTGGGGAAACGACTGCAGAAAAAATGAGAAGCCCAGGTTTTATATTTAGAAACATCAATTTAAATAACCAATGATTTTCATTCACATACAACATGTGGTATATATATCTCCTTCAATATTAAAAATTAAAACTTATAAATCATGCATATAAAAAGTGTATATCTTTGTTACTTTGTTGTTGCTTCTTTTTTTTTTATTATTCCCTTATATTCCGCTGCATATACATGTTACAGGCTTATAGGTACAGACGGGTAGAAGAAAATCGTGATTCATTAGTTTTCCTTTATTATCGATTTCAGACCAACAGCAGCGTCGCATTGAGCATTGGTTCGGCTCGCCAAGAAATAATATACGGGTCGATTCCTCTTGCGAATCGAGAAATGTGGAATCTCGAAATTGAGATTCACGCGAGATGCACGCGAAAGAACTTACTCCGCGTAATATCGTATCTCGTATTTTGCAGGACGAAAAAGAACACGCACGGCTTCTCTGTATTTTCTTCTCTGCGAAAAAACGGGCGAATCAAAAGAAAGTTATCTCTATGTGTGTGATACTGAATAAATCATTTTTAAAATAGGAGATTACACAAAAAACATTTGTCTCATTTTCTAGAATATTGGCACATTTTGATGAAGATAAGATCGAATAGGATAATGTGTTTTCAATACGATTAAATCTATGTATGTAGTCGTAATTTTCTGAGAAATATATGCAAAAAAAATATTTTTTCGCCATTCTATATATGTTTTTATAATTTATTAATTCTACTCCCTTCTTTCCCTTTCTCTAGAAAAAAAGATATATTTCTTCCTTAATTTCCCTAATCGTTTAATTAATTAAATAAATAAATGGGAAAAATAGATAGAAAAAATGAGACAAGAATTCGCTTTCTAAAATAAAATTTTATCGATTCTTTCCGATCAGCCCGCTTTTTGTAAAATCGCTCCTTCATATGGAATTCATTTTGTGTGTATGTGTGTGTACTTTTAGAAAAATCGTGGAAATAGAAACGAAAAGAATATTGGTTGACGTGACGCGACTAGATACATTAGTATATTTTCAAAAGGCTAAGAGCTAATGACAATGATTCTCTGAGAAAATTAATGCGGCCTAACATATTGTTATCAAGAAGTTAGAGATTTTTGATACTGTAATCAGAAAATCGATAATCTAAAAGTAAATATGTCAAAATATTTTTTAAATACATATTGTATCAGTCGTGTCGCGAGCGAAAAATTCTTGATGAGAATGTTGGATGATATATTTATTAAGAAGTAAAAGAAGGCTAGGAACCAAAAACGCAGGTAATGGTGCGAGATAATAATAATATATTATGATAGAAATTTTGTAAAGTTATTTTACTTACATACAGTAAGAAGCGCAAAAATATATGTTTAAAGTTTGTCGACGACGCTTCGACCCTGTTCTGGGTTCTTTTCACAAAGTCAAATAAGAAAAGCATAATATTAATATTAAACAGAGAACAGGGTCGAAACGTCGTCGACAAACTTTAAACATATATTTTTGCGATTCTTATTGTATGAAAGTGGAACAACTTTACAAAGTTTCTATTATAATATATTATTACTATCACACACTATTACTTGCGTCTTTGATTTCTAGACTTTTTTTACTTTTTATTAGATTTGTATCATTTGAACCATTTTTACATATTAAAAATTTTTTACTTATCTGATGTATATTTATTGTATCGCAGAAAAAAACATTATAATTTTGCACATTTATGACCGTCCGCGAATTTTGTGTGTGGTTGCAAAATCGTGCATTTTCGTGCCAAGTTTGATTCTTTTCAAAAGAGAAAAAATAAAAAAGTATTAAAAAAACGAAATAGAAGTGCAAAAAGAAATCTTCTTCCGACATTTTATTCTTTGATACTCTTTAGCGTAATAGAAATAAAAAAGAAAAGAAACATGGCAGAATCTTTGAGATTCGACAATATAGTCTGGTTCATGATTAAATAATACAGCTAAGTACAAATGACACGACGCGAATTGTATTTATATTCTTCATTATCGTTTACTCGACAGTGTTGTACTCACTCACGTTTTAATTGGACTCATTTCATTCTTGTATCAGTGTATATATTCCTCAGTACAATATATAATACAACCATAATGACCGCAATAATAATGGTGATAATTAATAATTAATAATAATAATAATATAATAGTAACATAATAAAAATCACCGTTGTCTCCACCATCGTCATCGTTATTATATAATGTATTTATAATATTTATATCGTGTGGTGTGTATGTATGCGTGGATCCCATACAATTACATCATCGTATCGCCGCGAGTATAAGTATATATAATTACAATTACAATCGTACTTAATATTCACAACTTAGTAATAATCGCGTTCGCTACCGCGTTTCGCCTCTTCTTCTTTTTGCTAAAAACAATGCGCAATTATTGTGTTTGCCCCGTTCTGCCGTTCGTCCATCGTTCATGATCATCAATTATTATTCATTATTATTGTTGTTGCTTAATTGTATGTACAGAAGAGGTATATATTCAATAATATTAATTAGTATTAATATTTATAATAATTTAGATTTACGTTCTCTCTCTCTCTTTCTCTCTCTCTCTCTCTCTCTCTCTCTCGCTTTCTCTCTTCTTACACGCGCATAACTACTGTGTATATGTGTGATTATCTACAGAAAAAGGTAAGACACGCTTCTGCAATTTTTTTCTTCCATGATTTTTCCCCTTTATTATTTTTTAATATATATAAAATCCAAGTGTATTTTTAAGAGTTTTACTTCAAATCACTATCTCAGACAGAAAAAATTCTCCAATAAGCTTCTAAGAGAGTTACTCTGATAAGTCCGCAGGAAGTAGAAAATTATTGAGGAGAGAAAATTTCAAATTTCAGATTTCTAGTGAAGTTTACTTGCGCTTTCTAAATTCGTAGGAGAGTTTTATCGTGTCGAAAATAAAATTATTATACTGGAAAAATAGAACTCTCGATAGTACACCTGAGCTTGATAAAGATTCATAGTTATAAAAACGAGTTTGCACCTACCAAAATCATTGATTTGTCTCGATAAAAAGATCGTCACGGATGAATTCCGGCGCTGAAGTCTCTAGACCGAATCGACGAAAATGAGACTAAAACTGAGAAAGAGGTTCTGAAAAAGAATTATATAAAATAATATATAAGATACATTGCTCTCTCTAACGATTGGTCCTATCCTCTGGCAGAAAGAAACAACTGGGAACTTACTGATCGATAAGCGTCTCCATAAATCGTTCGGGAATCAATGATCCATGATTAATTTTCATTATGAAATTTGATTTCCGATCCTGATAAAACAACAATCGAGAACGCGCTAATATTTTAATATTCAAGAATCAAGAAAATTTGCTAGATATAAGAAAATTTGCTAGATAAAAAAAATCAGTCAAAATAAAACAGAAATTTATGATAAAAGTTATAAAACTTAAAAATTTCAAAACATTCTATATATATGGCGTTAAAAGTCGAACTTATCGAAGTAATATTGATTAATTTCGATCTGTATTTCATACTTTCATTCGCATAAATCAAAAAAGAAAAATCGCTCTCAGATCGGAAACGCTTCTTCTATCTATGTTACTTGTATTAATGATGGGTTAGAGACCTTGCTGTGTCTGTTAGCATAGACATTATGCCGTTTGTATTTTTATGTAAGTGTATGTGTGTTTCTCTCTCTCTCTCTCTCTCTCTCTCTCTCTCTCTCACTCGCTCGCTCGCTCTCACTCTTGCTTGTGTACTAAGGACTAATTTTCTCTAAGATGTCGCCTATGCGCGATATCTATCTCACTGCTAAGTTAGCAACATGGACATTATTATTTTCTCTTCATTAATCGCTTTCTCTTTCCTTCTCTCTTCCATCTCATCCCTTGCTCACTCCGCCCGATTCATTCAAAATATTCTGTTTTTGTTATTACATATTATTTTCTTCTCTTATCGTGCTAAAAAAAAATTATCGTTTATGTCATTCTCTCTTTCTCTCGTTTTTTTAAGCGATTTATTAGTTAATTTTTATCGTCATTCTTACGGTATTTTAGCCATTGTGTTTCTTTCAACCGGATTCTCCCTTTTCTTATTTATATCCTAGAGTCTATGTATATGTATAAGATAGAGTCGATTTTCCCTGGTTTCGGAAGCGATTGGCAGCTGCCAGGACGTCGCCGGGATCACTGTGAGCCGAGGACTCGATCCTGCTCATGAACGCGCAACACGGTTTTTTATTTCCGAATGACATAAGAGTGTTAAACAAGCAAGGCCGAAATGCGAGTAGCAATAAAAATAGGAAATAAAGCTATAAAAAAATAAAAATAATCTTTTATAAAAGAGAATAAAAGAGATTAAAAAGAATAAAAGAAAATTTAAAGAATTATGAAGGATAAAACTAGAGATGAATATATTCTTACTGTTGTAATAGAATATATATACATTTAATACATTAATTACATTTAATAATTATTAAGAACGAAGAATTAATTCTTAACATCTTAATCATCATAAGATATTAATTTTTAATATCTTAATATTTAATTTCTCGTTCTCACATCGATAAATCGTTTATTGCTTATCATTGATTAATATTTTTCGAAGACGTCATTTTAATAGATAGATTGCTTCGCTTTTCATTTCACGTTTGAGGACAACACGTTTAAGGAACACACGGGAAAACGCTTTTCCAAGAAAGAAACATTAGAATCTCTTTATCATTAAAATAACGTCCTCATCCATTTTTCATTTATCTTTATGTCTTATGTTCTTATCTCTCATTTTTCGGCCTCGAGCTATCTAATCAATGTGGCTTCTCTTTCAAAGGTGTCAAAGGCACATGGCTGAAAGGTACCCGTTAGTTTCCACAGTCGTTTTCCTCTGGCTTGACTGCTCTATTTTCCTTTTCACTACCGATATTGCGCGTTCCGAGCACGTTCGCCGGATTGTAACAATCGTCGTATACATGTTCTACGTATCGAAGAGAGTGGGTTAAGACAAGTTTTCGCCGATTTTGCGGTCGATCGATTATCTAAAAAGATGCGTCGGAGAGCCGTCGCGTTTACGAGATATATTATACCGGGCGTCCTACCTTCTTTCTCCTTGTCTACTTGAAATCTGCGAATAATATCGCGCGTTTGCTTCTTTATTTTATTATTATCTTTTACTATTTATTATGTTATCGTTATCATTAACTTTACTCGTTATATCGTTACTCGCTACCGTTTATTATCCTTGCTACGTTTGCTGCTTTAACTATGAAAACGAGAAGAACGTAGTACGAGCTGCCACAACACTACGGTATTGTACGTACGTGTATCTTTGTGTGTGCGTGTACGTGTGTTTTTATGTGTTTGGCTGTTCTATGTGTGTGCACACACACACACACAATATGTTCATCGAGGATGATGTCCTCCGGTGATGTGATCCGGGCCGCGCCTCCCCTCTTTTCGCTTCGATAAAGTATTTCCGAAACCGGGCAAATATATAATTATCAATTCGTTCTCTCTTCCTTTCTCTCGCTCATTCGCTTTCATTCTCTCTCTCTCTTTCTTTCTTACGGCGTATATCCAAAAATCTTTAGAAATTCTGAATTGTGATAAGAATAGGTACAAATATCGTGGGGAGATTATCGCAGCGAATATTACAAAATTCTCGGTTCTTTTCTTTCTTTTTCTCCCATATCTTGAGAAAGAAATGCCGCAAGCGATTCAGCGATTCTCGAAAGTGATTTAAAAGATTGTGCTGGCTCACAGAAGGAGCTGGACGAAATTTCATCAGGAATCACGGTTTACCGAGTTTTCCTTCAGCGCGCTTACTGTGCGAAGAAAAAGGCTTTTGCAGCTCGCAAATGGAAAAATAGTTGTCTTTTTTTCTTTCTTTTTTTTCTCTCATCTCTCATTCTCACCTTCAACCGCGCTCATCCGCACTCTTGAATTAGCTACAACTTTTTTTCTGGGTTCTCTTTTTTTTCTCTTGATTTTCGCTTAAATTCAACGAGAGTTACCCTGTGAGTATATGCACGAAGGGACGCAGAAATTACCCCATGTGCAGGTGCAATGCTCGAGAGATATTATCTGGATACGCTTTTAACTGCTAAGCATCGTCTGCTGATTAAATATAATTGACTTTACTTAATGTGTAGTGGGTAATGATTGTGAGGATTGAATATAATTTAAAAGTGGTCTCACGAAAAAAATTTAGCGATTAATTATACCTTGAAATGTCATTCTTCCTAAAAAAAAATAATATTGATAAGTTGAAAAAAGGCCAAAATGTTATTCTAGAAAATTGTTCCTTGAATTCTCTAGTTTAAAATTTTTGTTATTTAAAAATATCTCATGAAAAATTAGAAATAAATCTCTTTTCAAAAACTAAAAAATTCTGAATTTAATTTCAAAGTTTTGCATGATACTCAATTTTAAAAATTAGAGATATAATCTCAGAATAATTCTTTCAATTACTTATTTTTAGAGGATCTTCTTAGAACGCTGACGAGATGTTGCGTTCACTTAATCTTAATCATGTTTATTACTTTCGATAAAATGTTATTGCAAAATACAATCTGTAAATATTACGAATTATGCGCGGAAGATAAAAAATAGCATGGCAAAAGGGTGCCAAAAATGTTTTAGTGTCATATTTTTAGTTTCATAATGGAAAAGGCTTATTCGTGATATGCGTATGGGACATACACAGTATAAATATGCGAAAGAAATGTTGGGTAGAAGGGACATTCGTCGCGAATTTACAGAGCGACTAGCTGAATTTGTAAAGATTTTTGGGCGCACTATTCTTCGCTTCCGTACACGCGCAAAAACGAAACTGCTTATTTGTAGCTCATACGTTATAATTTTTACCGTGTGTGTGCGATACAATTACGTGTAATTAGCAATATCATTATTAGACTTTTTATTATAATTAGTGTTACAAAAGCTTGATTATATTTGGATCGGACTGTAGCAATATATTCACATAACTATCGTCGTGGAAAATAAAAATTTAACGTTTACATTATACAATTATTCTTCATCACCATTTCGTCGATTCAGTATTTATTTGTAGATTCTCCTCGTCGCGTAATAAATACAATTATTTCATATAATCATAGTCATATTCATCAGCTCTTATCGGCTCTCCCGATCCGGTTTTCCTTCGCCTATTGTTATACGACGGTCGTTTCACGATATTCTCTTGTCAAATATTTCCCCCTTCATATATATACTATATTCTCCTATATGTATAATACGAATCACACACACGATCTAATAAAAGGAATAAAAATTCAATAAACGCTTTTTTCGCAAAGTTTCACGTTTTCGCAAAACAAACTAAGCGAAAATCATCTCTTCGCCGTTTCCAATGCATGATCAATTCTATTTTTATTTTATTAATTATTGCATCGATTTAACAATCAATTTCCCTCGATTCTTTTGTCGATTGCAAAGTAGTAAGCACCGTGAGTTCATCGCGCGACACGTTATACGCGAGATTGCACGAAAAGAGAGTAGTATCATTTAGTATCGCTACTACTCATCTAAAACGTATAATCGGTATCTGCGGAATCGCAGAGTCCCTGATGCTATTACACGAAAATCGATCGTTGTGAGACATTGCACTATCTTTTGCAATTCTCTCGCTCTCGCTCTCTCTCTCTCTCTTTCTCTCTCTCTCTCTTTCTCTCCTTCTTTCGGTCGACTCAATAAAATTAATCGTTAATTTCTTACGACTACAAAATTACAAATATGAAATATCATAAATCGCGTATCTACTGGCACTGATAACGACCGAGACGAAAGCACACAGAGCGGAGATGCGAAGTATCCAAACGAAAAGTACACGCTTACGAAAAATCGGTATCGCGCAAGATCGTGCGGACATTCTCGTTTAGCACTCTAAAATTCACAATAATAATTATTATTATTAATATTATGTACAAAATCCTACTCCTTTCTTTTTCGTCGATCGCGTTTTTTTTCTTTAACGATCGTTTCGAGACTTGTTTCTAATACAATGTTTCTCCTATTCCCCTTTGCGCTTCATACGCCTCATTGTATTGCGCGGCACGCATATTGTACAGAATAAGTTCCATACGAATTAAATTAACAAATATCTAAAATTATATTTTTATTGCGACTTCTCGCAACTTAATGAAACAAAATCCTACGGATTAGTCTCATCCTAATGATCATCCGCTACTCCCGTGACAAAATGATCGAGCGACTATATATAAGCTCTGTATAAATTTTCTCTTATCTCCTTATATGGTATCTTTGCACCCCGTACATCGAAAGAGCATAGGATAGTTAAAAAGTTACAATGATACATAGTTCAGAATCATGTGTTCCCATATGTGCTTAACAATGGTACGAAAAATATATAGTATATAATTGTTCGCGCGCAAACGATAAACGCGCTCGATCAATTCTTTCGGGAGTTGCAGCGAGTAATCAATCAATCACTTAATTCGCCCGGTTTTTCTTTCGAAAGTTAAAAGAATGATTCAGCCTCCGACATTTGTAAAACCTTTACAAACTGTATCACACAGGAACGATATTTATATATCATCTTTTCTTCCGCGTCGACTTTATTGCTATGAAATACACGACAAATGTCCAAGATTGCGGGGCGACCATCGAAGTTCGAAACATCGGCGTACGCTTGCAGAGTGGAGGAAACTCTCGTATTGAAAGGAAAGTTAAGTGGACGCGGTATCAAACGGAGATAGAAATATCGTACCGTGGAACAAGGATTGAAGGATTTCTTGAGGAAGTACTCGAAGAGTTTGCGTCGGTCGAAGAGACAAATGAACCGAGAAGAAAAGAGAAGAGGCTCGTCCAACAACCTAGGCTGGCAGTAGTTGAGGAGACGATAATATACGACGCGGTAACTTCTTCGCCCAGGCAGTTCGATCACTCCTTCTCTTGTCCTCTTCTCCGTGAATCTCATCATTCGATCTTGACGTGTATCTCACGATCCTTCCCGATTTCCATAGCTTTTGTGAAATGTGACAAAAGTGACGAAGATGTTTCGGATATTCGGCGCGTGTTTCTCGAAAATAGTGGTCGCGAACCTCGCTTTCTGGATAAGAAGTACATATTCAGATCGTTCCAAAGGAGAAAAGATCGAGCGAAATCGTGAATGGATCATCTTCGAAATTAGCTTCATTGATCACACGTACTATTCGAAGATACTGATTTACCTTTCTACAACGCTCGACAGAATAAACTTCTCCCTTTTTTCATATTCTACCTGTTCGCATTTCTCGAAGAAAAATTCAGAGGGAGATCGGTTCGTGAACATCGGTTCATCTTCTTTTCTTTTTTCTTTCTTCATCTTTCACTGGTTTCCTCTTTTTCTCTCGCTACGTCGCTCCAGCTACATCATCCACGCGATAAGTCAGACTATTCGGATGCTTTTTTGAAGGATTCCGCGAAAAGGGATCCGCGCATGAGCTGCTGCTCTGCGGTATCTACCGGCTCCCGGCGCTTTCTGACGATTGGGCAACCGCCGCGGGATTGTGACTTGTCTCATATTCCATCACTTCTTGATAGATCAAGTCCTTCCACTGGTCTACCGTGTGTTCCCTCTCGTCCACACTATGATCATATGGACCTGGTGCGGGCTGTAAAACAAATGAGTTTTTTCGTAAATAATGAAAAGTTAATTATCGGATCTTTAATAAGAGAAATAAAAAGATGAGAAATATCTTTTTAGAAAGGAATATCTTTAACACAAAGAATCTGTTTTATAAACCGTATTATCAAGATTTTTGACGTCATATAAAAAATATGATTATTTTAGAGAACATATTTTTTTGGAAATGCTTTCATTTATTTTAATTGAGGGAAAAAGAAGATTTTGTGGCTTCTCGAATCAAATTATAGTGAGCATTATAGTGTGATTTGATTTCTCGTAGAAGGCGGTCCCGATTAGCCAGCTTATTCACGCGATCAATCGATAAAGCCTACTTACGGCATTGACTTCCCCCTCGTCGTACCAGACGTTTATATAATTGTGCAGCAACGCCTCGTCCACGGAAATGCGTCGCTCCGGATCGATCACGAGCATGCGCGACAATAGATCCCTGGCTTGGCTCGCTGGAAGAGGAAATAAACAGTGTAAAGAGAAGAATGAGGGAAGACAAGGCAGCGGTGGCGAGAATGCGAAATCCTCTCGTCCGAGTATCGGAACGCGCGTGTTCCGCGATCGATTCTGCGACGCGGACGACGACTTGTTGACCCACTCACCTTTTAATCTATTGTGCTCCGAGGAGTCCGAGGGAAAAAGGACGTCCGGGAATAGCCTCTCGAAAGGATAGCCTGGATATCGCGGCCTGTTCTCGACATAATTCCTGACAGTCGGTTGCAGTCGTTGCATGAACTCCTGCGCTGGAGTACCAAGTTGCTCTGTAAATAAAAGATTAGGGAAAAATAAAACCCGAAGAGAAAGAGAAAGTAGTCTATTGATAATGCAAGTTAACGGGATATCATAATTCTTATATTAGTTATAAGATATAATCTGTTCCGATTGTTAATTATTTTTTTTATAATAAAAAATATTAGTCTATAAAGCAATGTCACAATTATTTTCATAACAAAAGATATTAGAAAAAATATGATTGCCCGCTTATATATAACAAGAAAGTTATAAAATAATTATATAGTCTTATCTCTTTTTCTAGTAAAATTATACTATTTTTTATATTTTATTTAGTCCCGAAAGCGCGTACATATATACAATAAAATATTTAAAATGGAAAATTTTATTTTATTTGAAATTTGGTTTTGTCTCGTAATATCTTTCAAATGAATTTTACTTCGCAAAATTTTGAGTTAGTCTCAATTTTGTCAACCGATATAGATAATATTAGATCACTAATACAATTATGCTATAAATATATAAAATTATAATTATTAATCTAATTATCATTAATAAAAAAATATCAGTCTTACCGATTATTTTGTTCCATTGATCGATGTGATCCGTGCCCGGGAAGAGAACACCACCACGTATCATCTCGCCCATAATACATCCCACCGACCAGATATCCACATTTTCTTTGTATCCCATGCCTAGAATCACCTGGGAAAGAAGATAAAATTCCGAGTGAACGAAGGTGTCGAACCGGAAATTGGCGTCAAAAATTACATCTCGCGAGAGAAATTTGGCTCACCTCTGGCGCTCGATAATATCGCGTTACGACATAAGGCGTCATCATAAATGTGGTGCCGGCGGTCCTCGCCAAGCCAAAGTCGAGAATCTTTAGCGTACAGTCGGACTTCACGACGATGTTGCTCGGTTTTAGATCCTACGCGAGAAGCAAAATTGATTTGTCTGATTTGTATGAGAAAATTACTAAGGAGAAAATAATTTAAGAAAATAATTTACTTTACAATTTTTTTTTTTATAAAACTATATAAATCTGATAGAAAACTAACCATCACGAAATATTAGACAGTAAGTGAGTTAATCGCATTAGCGTCTGAATTTTAATTTTTAGCACGCAATTACGCGGTAGTTCCGTAATAACTGCGTTTTTAATGAGGCACGCGACGCCGGTTTAGTTATTCTATTATACGTGCGGGAGGAGCAGAAAATTAATCAGAATAACGGCAGTTATTTCTTTCGCCGCGAAACAATGGCAACAACAGAGATATAATATGCAGAAATGGCCGTTGCTAATGAATCTCGTTACGGTGAATTAAATGGCTCCGCCGCCGTGTTATGCAACTTTTATCTCGGGGTGCAACGCGGACATACCCTATGAATGATGCCGGCGGAGTGCAAGTGCTTGATGCCGCACAGCATCTGGTAGAGAAGGTACGACATACGCTCGTGATCCAGATCCATCTGGATCACCTGGCACAGATTCGCGTCCATGAGCTCCATCACCAGGTACACATCTTGAAACTCGTCCAGCGACCGTTGCGGCGTAAACGCGTTCAGGAGACCGATTATCTGAGAAGTGACAAGTCGTAAATTGGAGAGTCGGATGCAATAATGGCGTGTGAGTCAATTTCAAAGTCAGACTATACAGCAAGCCCGAATATTATGAGTGACCGCAAGTAAAATTTATTATTTTCCTCTTCTCTTTCAATTTACGTATTCAAATTTTAATTATTATTTCATTCAAACCTCTCCTCAATTATCCTGATATATTGAATTAAAAGGAATGATCGAAACTGGATGGAGCGGTTGACCCGATTTTAAAATTTGATTAATGTCTGAATTTACTTTAAATTTCCGCAAATCTCGAGTTGTAATTTAATTAGTACGTATGCTGTTCCCAGAAATCAAATGGGTTAAAATTATGATCGCGAATATGATGGGGAAAATAACTAAGCGTAATGCGTTATAATTAACTGCAGCAACCATCTTTTCATTTGAGTGTAGCTTTATATAAGCATTATGTAGCTTTAAGTAACTTTATTTGTAGCAATTTAGAGATAGTAATTATATATAAGTTTTTTAGATTTATTCTTGTGTAATAATATAATTAAAAAGATAATTATATACATATATATACACTTTTCGTGCGAAACGCATTAAATTTAGCAGCAAAGCTTTAACATTTGAATAATGTAGTACTAAAGGCATATAAATTTTATTGTGACTTTTTTATTGCACATACACGATAAATATGATGCATGCGTGTCTAAATCATTTACATGTCACACATCGAGGATTCGCAACAAAATGAAGCTGAAATGATGAAACTTACATTTTTGTGATTGACCAGTTTCATGAGTTTGAACTCTCTGTAGGCCCTCTTCGCATGCGTCACGTTTTGAAAAGGTCTAGACAGTTTCTTAATCGCCACATTTTGCGCAGTGACGGTGTCATACGCCGCGCTGCAACAGAAATGCAAAAGATCAATTATGCACTTGATCAATTTAAACCCCTTCAGAGAAAATGTCGAATTAAAATAAATAATTTAAATCTAAATAGTAGAGTATTTAAGCGCGAAGACTTGTTAGCATTTACATATATTTTACTTTTGATTCTAATAAATTATACCACGTGTCTACGTACAACTTTGTCCTATTTATCACAAGATTTTTTTCTTCATTTAAGGAAATATAAGGTGTGTTATATTAATCTATAATATTAATAGAGTACATACGTTTTACCAAAAAGTACCTTATATATGCAGAATATTAATTCCAAATTTATGAATACAAGATTATTATGTTAGTATTTCTACGAAACATTTGCAAGATAAGTGATGTATCTTTAATTGAGAAAAAAAATAGCTGATAAATTATGCGGCGATCCTATATCAAAGATAGAAAGAAACCACACACCAAATTCTTAAGATTAACTACAAGAAATTTAATACATGTACATGGACGTGGAATAAACGTGCTTTGATATAAAACTGATTATTAAAGTGTCAACGAGAGAGACAGAAAAATGGGCACACCGACGGCACATGACGCATCATATGGACCATGGATTTTACTCACCAGACGATACCCTGGGCACCAACGCCACGCGGTACGACGTCAACGTACCTCTCGGGTATGCAAAGCTCCGTGTCGCCAAAAACGTGACGACGATAACCGCCTCGAATGTTGCTCGATTCCGTTGCGTTCGTCGCCATCATCGCATTACCTCTTTAAAGGCGACTCTTTCAGCTTCGTTCTCTTTCTTTCTCTCTCTCTCTCTCTTTGTTTCTCTAGCTCAGACTCTTCTCGTGGCGGTTCTCGTATCTTAACTAGGTAGTGTATATCGTTGCTCTAGCTACCAAATCAACGACACAAGAACTACAAGGAACGAAAACGATCAAGTCGAGTGGCGACGGAGAAAATTTATCGTTGTCACGTTTCTCTCAACGACATTCGCGACTGGAAGATTTTCAGCGATTATGTGGCGTTAAAAGCGGTCACCAGCATGTAATGAAACCCATTAATCTTTTCGTTAATATCGCACGATTTATCAAAGACAGAAAGAAAAATGAATCTATCAATTATTGATGTTGTTATTAACTTGAACAATTGCCCTACTAAAACTCACATAAAGTATCTTTATTTCCTTTATTCTCAACAATTTATTTTTTGACCGATAAAAATATCCTTCTATTTTTATTATACATTTATTTATCCAGGCATTTATTTACGTCATACCTACAAATCAATGAGTTAAAATACATCTGCGGCGCTATCACGATTTTTGTTATTTATTGTGAAACTGCAAGCTTGTCAAGAGATACTAAATTGCACTTTACACCGTGCGTTGTAAAACGAGTCGCGTTTCGCGGAACGTAATTTTTCTCCGTCGCAACAATGTCACCGACAGTGGTCTCAAAGGACAAACGAGCGTGATGTGTAATTCTTGGAACGAACTCGAGTTTTTAGGCTCGTTCGTTTCACCTGGCAATCCTTCAAAGATATTCTCTTTCTACCACGCGAAAGCTTTCCCTTTGAGAACCGTGTCGCACGAAATCGTGCTTGATTGTCGGAACCATCCGTATATCCCGTTTAATGCGCTTTTCCTGAGAGAGCGCGCGATATACTTTTGTGAAAATTCTCCGCGTAACGTCAATATCAATTGCGAGTCAATCCATGGTGCGAGGGAGTTGGTGGATGGATCCAAGAACCATGCGAGGACAAATAAATCGGCAATCAAAAAAATAAAATCATAATCGATAAGCAAGTATGTAGTTGCAATATAGCTGGAATATTTTGTGCAATAGATATTTATAGCTATACTATGTTCAAAAAAATATATTTTGTTAGAAAAAATAAAAATTTGATCAGATGCATTAAGCGAATCAAAATAGACGTTTATCGAGCTACGAGCACTTTGTATTATTCTCAACAAAAGTTGTGCGCGATAATTTTTTATAAAATTATTAATTTTAATATATTTTTCAAAACATCAGTACATCAAATATTAAAATAATTTGTTAATTTCTTTAAAATGATTGTACATAATATCTTTAATAATAAAGAAGGCTGTTGAAAACCAAGAAAAGCACCGGTGGTATTGCATGTTTTATAAATTTATAATTTTAAAAAAAACCAATTCTAAAAGTAAAAAAAAAGTCCAACGTTTGGGACCCTCTTCAGTGTGACAATAATAATTTAATATAACATATGAAAGAAATTCTAGAATAAATAGATAAAGATATAAAAATAAAACAAACGGGAAGTAGAAACGTTTGTACTTTTAGAAATTAGTTTCTTTTAAAATTATAGATTTATAAAACACGCAATACCAACTGTGCTGTTCTTGGTCTTAAACAAGCTTTCCTTATTATTCTTGATTTATCATTTAGACCAATTATACGTAAATTTATATTTTTAATTTTTTTTATCCTTGGTGCAATATTTTATGTCTCATGTATTGAATTGCCGTAAAAATCGATTTTATGGATCAAAAGCGATCTTGCAGTCGCAGCTCGTTAAGCGAACGTGATTGAATGCGAACGGGTTCAATCATCAGACGAAGCAATCGTCAATTAAACCAGAAAAATAATGAGCGACACAAAAAGAATGCTGGAGAAAGCAAAGCATGCGGATCTTACGTCGAATCGTAAGCCTGAATTCGCCACGGATGGCAGAAAGTTTCCCTTCACCCTACCTTTCATAATGTCGTCCTTGCTATCGAAATCGTTTCCTCACGAGAGAAATCGTATTCGACGACTGGTTAAACACGATCAAACGAGCTAAAAATTTTCTCCCGCTCTTCCTCGCTTCTGTATGTCTATGATCCATCGGGTATATCCAAGGAGATTTCAAGAAATCATTAATCCTCTCCCTCCGCGAAATTCTGTGACTTCAAAACGAATGGTATATCTCTGCGTCTTTTAAAATAAATGTAATACCACGAATTGTAAATTCAGTAAAAAATTGCAATAAATTGATAAATTTATTTTTGAAAGCGTAATATTAAAAAGATTTAGTTAAAATGAAGGAGTAGTTTGGTATAACAGTATGTTGACCTACATTTTTGAAGAAATTTAAAAAAGTTACAAAGTTCATGTATGTACAAATAAAATTTCAATTTATTTTCTGAAAAGTTTTTGAAAAAGTTGCATTAAAATTGTCTTCAAGTACGAAAATTTATTATTAAAACTATTAAATTTTTTTTTAAATTTGAATACATACCTATAATAAGTATTTAATAATAATTAACATTTTAAAATAAATTATAGGAAAATATGTAAAAGAGTTTATAAATTAAAATTTTTTAATCTCTCTGTACGTGAAGTAGTTTTAAAATAAATTCTTTTCAGAGTGGTAAAGTCTTCCGTGAATGAAATAAACTTATCAACATTATCTCAATCCTAGCAAAAAGAGAATATGAAAAAAAAAACATCTTCTATACAAGTGCAAATTTCAATAAATATAATACAAAAGATGTCTAGTATAATATTCTTCTTAACAGCTGACATTTTGCGAACAAAGATTTCTCTTTTTATATTTCATGACAAGATAATGAAATTTTTAATATCAGCAAGAAAATATCTTCTTTGCGGAGCATCCTTGATAACGCCAGGATTAATAGATCCTATCGTGGATAATATCCGATTGTCCGTCGTTGGTCGATTTCCTTGTGCATCCTGACCTATCTTCCATGCACAGAGGATCGACCAGCTCGAAAGCAGCTGGCTTTTCGAGAGACGAGACGATGCAAGCCGAGACGCTTCGCATGTTGCCCGTAATGGACCACGCCACGGTAGAGAATTTTATCGAAAACCGATATCCGCATTCCCTTCGACTATTCGTTCGTCCGTTCGTTCGACTTACCTGCATGGCTACGGTGTATTGTTCGAGATTGCGCTTTCTCGGATAATGCAGTATTTCAGTTTCTACCGAGAGCGTCGAAAGGGGAGACACGTGCGAGAGGCGGTCGAGGGGAACGATCACGTGGACCTTCTCATTTACGATCGATACCGTTCGCCATGAATTTCAACAATTCCTGAGTTTGGTCCAACACAAACTGCTACATCATCAATAATTAGTAGTTAGCAAAGGATGGAAACTAAGGCAGAAATTGCTTATTTGCGAAATAGTTGAATCTATTCGAACGGCAAATTAAGGACCACTATAACAATAATTTATCATACTCTTGTCCAAAGATTTGAGAAAAGAGATCGAAATGAAAATGAAAGAAATTAAAGAATCAAGAAAAGAGAAAATGTTCTCAAACTTTTATAAGAGAAAATTAATCATAAAAAACAATTATTATCGTATCATATTTTTTCATTTTTCAAATTTACTTTGTTTAAAAAAATTTATATATAATTATTGTTATTAAAAAGTAAAGAGTGTACAGAATTTTCCAACTTTATAGTCTACTTTAATATTATTATTTTATCTTTGAAAAATTGGGAAAGAATGGACATCACAATCACACATTCAATGTTAACAGCGAAAAAATAAATTATTTATATACTTAATTTTTTTAAAATAGAATTTAAAAAGTCGTAAGAGAAAGGCAGAAAAAATGCCGTAATTATATATCCATCTATTCACAAAAACCTAGCAGGATTGATTTAATAATTCGCTTCGAGATCGAGATCTGAAGATCGAGGTTCGACGGCAGGTACAATAACGAGGGAGGACGAAGACGGTGACAGGGAATGTCATAAAATTGTCATCAAAGACGATTTTTCCAACATCCCACGTCGCAAGCTTACAAGGAAGGGGCGTTCTGTCTCTCGTCGTCGTCATCCCAGCGCGTACTCTTGCGAAATCCCGACATTCCCCCTCGTACTGAATCGAATTGTCCGATTTACCTCGACTCCCCCATTTATCTGCACGGTGAATGGTATCTCCCATTGCTTTTTCACGAGAAAAGAGTGAGGATGAGAAATCGTAGTTAACCCTCATATCTCTATTCTCGAGATATATATCGTAGCGGTACAAAGTTCAAACGACTTCGACTTCACCTCGAAACTCGCGTCTGATGGATGCTATTATTGTCAGTTGTATAGATAGCAACTTGAATGGAGGTGAAGCTTGACGTTATTTTATCTGCGAAACGGATAATGCAAGATACATCGAAATAAAATGCAATAAGTATTGCATCCCGATGAAATAAATATAATTCAATAGCGATACATTATATGAACATTATTGTCAGATTCTATTATTTCTATGTTTGAATTTCCTCTAATTTTCAATTTTTTGCTACTATGTTAATAAATGTTTAATCGTTTATTATAAATATTTTATTATATATTTGAATATTTGACTGTCAATTTTTATTTGAATTATTAACTTTATCATTATCAGGATCTTTATTTCATACGAGCAACTTTATTCGATAGAATCCTGAGGGGAAGAGAGTTAATTTACCGCTTGACGCCTCGAATGCTCGTGTCTCTCCTTAAGTCTCTGCATATGTGACGGGTGAAAATTGCACAAAAGACTGACGTCATTAAATTATACGGCTAATGAAACACCTACCAAACTATTCCCTGCGCGCCCGATCCGATAGGCTTGAGGTTCTGGTAGCGTTTCAGAATGGTGAACTTGGTGTCCCCGACCTCGACCGTGTAGAACATGGCGGATAGCCGGGTTGTCATGTCAGGCCCCAGGTAAGGCATGCGCCTCGATGTTCGTCTCTCCTGCTGCTGCTGCTGCTGATGCTGCTGCTGCTGCACCTGCGCCGCCTGCACCCCGTCCACCCCGCTGGAGCACTCTTGGTGCACTCGACGGGGACTTACGCTCTTAGCCACTTTGGACGCGGGATTATTAGTGCACCCACGGAATAAATAATAATGGTAATGTAGACAGGAGACAGTCGATCGCGTCAGTCACTGTCGCGCTGCACCTGCACCCGCAAGTGTCAGGCAGGCCGCGCCTCAACACGCTGCCCGATGAGTCCTCACGTAACCCAGAATTGTCTGTAACAAAGAGAATCGAGGTGAGAGCTCGCATAAATTCGAGTTAGGACAGCTGTTATTTTTAACCGTCAATTTCATTGCTATCTCGTTCATTATTTATCATAGCTGATACGATTGTCTTTGAAAGTTATTATAATATGCCGAAAGAGCTATCAAGATAGATCAAAATAACTGTCATCTATATTAATTAATTTTATTAATTAATTTTATTAAAATCTATTTTAATAACTTTTTAGTATATAAAATAATGTGAAACTCTGATAGTAAGAGAGAAAGAGATCATATATATAATATAAAATATATCGAAGGAAGAGGAGAGAAGAAAAGCTCAGGACATGTGACATGTGACATTTAATGTGCAACAATCTAATAATAATATCATTCAAGGACGCGGCTGCGAAATGCACGCGATATTTGTAGCGCGGATAATCGAAACCATATCATTTACACGCGCTTATTCGATGTTACGCGGGTCCGCACGTGGCTGAGTTATATGCACATAAAGTAGCATTCATCAATGTCAAAAGAAACACCCCGAGTGTCATGAAAGTCAAATATTATATGCAAAGCGAGTACGATATATTGCTATCATTAGCCAGGAGAGAATTATGGAAAAGAAAAAAATCGAAACATCGACTCGAATCAAATCAGTATTAGGATTTAAATTAGAATAGAGCACTAAATGCATTCCAAATTGCATATCCTGCCAGATTAACGTCAAAATTCGAAATGCAATTCACGACGGTTCAACGGACGGACTGTACTCATGTACTTAAATATTTAAGTAACCATGGGAAACTATTTGAACATCGCAAGTTAAAATATATACTAACTCAAATCCAACTTGGACCAGTTTGAATTCGGTTTGTATTGAACCAAGTAACAAACCGAGCCAAAATTCACTCAGGATTAACTAAAATTTAGGCAGGATTAAATCAGAATTAACTTGGATCAGTCGACTTTAGAAAGTTCAAAAGAATTCACCTCACAATTTATATTATAAAATTACTATTTATTCTTGTTAAAAAATATTCAAGTAAAATTAAAAAAGTGTACATATATGAAATAAATTGCTTTTAATATACTAAATGATACTCTTGAGTATAATTTCTTAGTTTTATATCTATACTATAGCATTTTTTACTTTATTTTGTATTTTATTTTGGAAAGCTAGAAAAATATCAATTTATAAAAACGCTTTTGTTCTTATCTACTTCATAACATCTCGTACAAATATGTACACAGTCGTTATAAATGAAGTTATTAATAATCATCATATAGCAGGCTATCAATCATAATAATTTATTCGACAAGATCGATGTAACTTGTTTCGACTCAAGTAATATTCACCGGCGAGAATTAATGTTATATCGACACACTTCTGCGGTGTTTGTGAATATTTTTCGCTCGAACTTGAATTTCCCTTGAACCTCGTTTATCACATGTCAGCGACGCAGCTGGAGGAAGAAACAAAAGCATCTGTTAACTCTCAAATTGGAAAGTCATCCAGTCGTTCATTATTTCTCGTTCTCGAGCGGTTACGCGATAGTCACAACTAGAACGAAGTGTATGTTTGCTAGCAGAAATTGCGCTATAAAAGATAAAACAATGCAATTGCACAAATGGAATCGTTTCTTCTCTCGGTCTCCTACATCCTTTCGGATAGAAAAAGTAACAGGAAAAGAAACAGACACTAAGGTGGCCAGTTTAATCAATTTTTTAAGATTATATTTTCTCTTTCCAGAGATCAAATAGCAAAGAAAGAGAAATAGATAAATTAATATATAAATTAATAAAAAATTATTTTATCTGTAAAAAAGTATAATTTTTCGGATCATATTTTCTCCATTATAACGCTAATTTCTTTTGCATGAATATATAAATATTCAGATTTATTAAAAAATAAATAATTTAAACTTATTAATGAAATTAATATCATAATAAATAAGAATAAGCAAATATGTATATGTATGAATAAACGAGAAAAAGAATAAAAATTTGTAACAAAAATAAGATTAGAATAAACGAGAAAAAGAATAAAAATTTGTAACAAAAATAAGATTAGAATAAACGTAATTTTCAACAACAATTAAAACTCAAAGATAAAATGAAACAGATATATGAGTAAAAGATTTAATAACTATAATGTTAGATCTGAGAATAGACCAGAATTATCGAATACAAAGACCAAACAAGAATTAAATAAACTAGAATAAAGATGAAGTATCAAAGAGAAAATTTTCGTAACTAAAAGAGAGCAAGACAAAGCGTTACAATTTCACCAGGTTGTAGAAACTATTGTTTCAACGAAAACTACAGTAAAAGGGAGATCAAAAGAGACGAGTGCAATCTCTCGACAAATCCATCAGCGAGTGTAGCGAACTATAAATTGTTAAAGATAACAATGCCTGCCGTTGAAACATGCGATAGAGGGAAAGGAGAATGACATAAGGATGGATCTCTTTCCAGATGATCTGGGTCACCTTGTCATCCCCTTATATATCATTGTTGAAGAATACAAGCGAGGGAAAGTCAGCGAGAGTATGATATTCGTTATCATGTTTCTCCTCGATGGATCGAACAAAGCGGAAGCTACTGTGAACGAATAAGCAATCGAGCTTTATTGGTAACGCAACTAATTCAATTGCACCTCGAATCAACGTTTGAATAATAAGGACTCGACATCGACTCCTGTCAACTGTGATATCGATCGATCGAAAGGGAGTTAACGGAAATGTGTACGCGTGGCTTGCTACGATATCGTACAAGAAAAACCAATTAAGTCTACCTTTGCTAAAAAGAAAAAAGAAAAAAACAATAGCTCTCAGTGCTGCTCTATTAATCAACTGTAACAAGCAAATTCGTCCAATGGTCTCGCTTATTATTTTTAGGTATTTCCAAATTTTCAAATATCTTTATTTCTTTAAAATATTATTATTCTTCTCATATTATTGTTTAATTTTATATATATATATATATATATATATATATATATATATAAAATTTCTCTAAAACTTTTCTATTGTATGAAATAAATAATCTATAATTTAATTTATTCAACATTTTATCGTAACGTGGCTCGATATGATGTTGATCGAAATAAGGTCACTGCGACTAATATTTTTGCGGGCGTACTCTCACCGATATTTTCTAGTACCCTGGGATTTCCCCGATTATTTATAGCGACCGTCGCAGACGCCAACACCGACACCGACGACGACGACATTCAGCACAGTCGTACTTCGGTTGTCTGCGTGAACCAACCACCTTTCGTTCGCCACCTGCTGCTAATTACGTAAACCAGCCAAACGGATGCATTCGCAAGCCACGGAGCTTTAACGAAAACTCGATAGCTATCGCGATATTCGATCGTATTTTAGATATTGCAGAAATATTTAAACGAGAGATTCAAAAGTGGAAATCGAGACTCGAAAATTAAATTTTGTAAGACACTCAAGAACGTGATTTTGAAAGTGACGAAAATAGAGAATCTCGAGAGTCTGAAAGTTACAAAAAATATTCGAGAGAGAACGATTGATATAACATCGATTTGCTATTTGAGTAAGAGAAGAAAGCGATAAACTGTAAAACTTTTAACATCTTACATTTTATCGGTGTCAGACTTTTCTGAAGTGTAATATTTAATATAAATCTTGAACAAATTCACTCTCTGAAATTTCTCTTAGAGGTCAAGATTGGAGCAATTGAACTTGAAATGCAATATTTATTTTAGTCAATTTTTACGTGTGAAAAGTATAACGAATTATTCTTTTAAAATTTTCTTTTATAATACAATTAATTTGCCTTTTATGATTTTTCTCTCCTAGGTTAACTTATCGCGTTTTGCATTTTTTCTCAATAGTAACAATAAAAAACTCGAAATATCGAACTAAAATAGTGAAAACATAACACATAGTTGAAAAAAAAAATATTATTTTTGGTTCGAAAAACCACTTGAAATGTTTTATAGTCACAAACTCGTGAAGAACAAAGGCCATGACATTTTTACATGCCTTTCAGTTACAAATTTTATTGAAATAGAACTTCGTGAAATGCATAAAAATGTCGAATACATAAAGTGTTGCGCTTCTGCCGATTCAAAATCAATAATGTTTGTCGACACACGCACACACACACGGGTAAGTTTTATAATTTCGATGTCAATACTTTTTTTTGCGCGATCAAAACATTAGAAAAATTTGCAATATTTTCATAACTTTTCAATAATTTAATTCCGTATAACTAACTGCATTAAAAATTTTCAAAGTAAAATCCATTCGGCAAAAAATTTGTTTTTAAAGAACTAACCTGATAGGAAAGTAAAGACCTTATCTGCACTTAATTTTTTATGTTGATGTCGTTGAGCTCACAGTCGTCAAGTTAGGTGCGTTCCAGAGAGATTCAGGCGGCAACCATTGTCGGGCAATCATAATTCATCGGATAAGACGGATTTAAGAGAGTTCAGCTTCACGTCGTTTCTTGTCGCCAGAAATGATTTAGCACGGAAAACCGGATAGTATTGCGACTCTATTTCTTGTCTATCGCGTTTAGAATGTACAGGGTGTGCACGAAGCTGTCAGCTCTTCGTTCGTGTAAAATTTGTGTTTCGATTTCGAGAAATCACCTAGATGTTAATGTCATGTTGTCGACATCAGTACTTGAATTTGACTAATATGAGATAAAATTCTAAATATTCGAAAATTATATATATAATAAAGAACGTAATATCTCTCTAATCTCTTTATATACAATAAAACTTTTTCATATTTCAAAATTATATATCATATATTATAAACTATTATGAGCAATTTATAAAAAGTGTGAAAATATGTGTATAAAATATATATACTTTTTTTATCAATTTTATTTATCATAGTTTGTTAATTTTTTTTTGCAAACTATCTAATTTATCTTTGTAACTACCTTTTACTAAACTACAAACTGAGCTAAAAAAGTCTTGTAAACATTGCGAACGTGAAATATTGGCAAACATTTCATGACAAACATAACGCAATCTCGATTTTGATAGCTCGTTTCGGGATTGAATATTCGTCGAAAATATATGAGAATTGATGATCGTCCATCAAGTCCGTCATGCAAATTAATACTATCATTATAACGATCACACTCACCATAAACAGGCGGCCATTGTGGATGTGCGGCGAATGCTGCTGGTTACGCTAGTGGGGTGAATACTGCGGAAGCAGGGATCTGCAAACAGACAGAACAGAGACGTTCCTCAGAGAGCGTGTCGGCAGGAATTTGCATGCATCCGTGGATGCGTTAATATTGCACACACCGCAAATCAGTGCATCGGATGCGTGTACGTGATGCACCGAATCATCGATTCGCGCTGGTACTACAAACGTCACAAACTCGCTTGATATCATTTTAGGTTGTTCCAACGTTGTGCAAGTCGATGGCATACGTGCAATATGACACGAGTCTCCGATAAAAGCATATTAAGCAAGGATCAAACGATTAATATCGCAAAACGATTCTGTTGATCTATTCCGCGGAAAGCCGTTAATAATTCCATAAAACGCGTGAGAGAGAGAGAGAGAGAGAGAGAGAGAGAGAGAGAGAGAGAGAGAGAAAGTGTGAGATTGCAATCATAATCTTTATAATTCATAAAGATGCTTTTTTTGCTACCAATATACATTAAGAATTAATTTTTTATTCAACGTTTCTTCTAAGTTTTGCAAATATTAACATACAATATGAATTAATATGTGTTGTATCTAATACATCTTGATGGCAAATATCATGATCTTCGCTCAATGACAGCTTCTCATCAAGTATTTATAAATACAGAATATAACTAAAAATCCGTAAAATAAAAGTAAATTCTAAAATTTTACTTCTGCATTTTTCTTCAATATACATTTTTTAAATTAAGTTAATATAACGAGATCATATTAGATAATAATTTCGAATTAACGAACGGTAATCTAAATTAAAAACATTATCTTGGTTTTACAATAATGTTCACTTGATCCGTACAATTCGTCTCTATTCATAGATTTAATTACTGCGCGGAATTTAGTGGGAATTAATTGCTGTTCTCTTATAACTCTTCCCTTTGTGTTTCATGGAATATTTAACGAAATCCCTCGAGAATGATGCAAAAGCGCAAATTTTTCCGCTGTGTATTAAATTAGAATCGATTACCTGAAAAATGCAATTTGACAGCAATCGCACACATCGTAAAAAAACGAACTGTCAATCGATAATTCGCGTGATTTAATTATTTCTGTCTACAACGTTTCATAGAGGTATCCAACGTAAAATAATATAATATAAATTAAATAAAAGGTAATAAATAAAAAATAAATTGTGTGTAAATACTCACACATTTTTCCCACGATTTTTATTAACTAAAAATTCCGATAAAATTGTTTTTCTCTTTGATAGGAAAATTCTCATCTTTTATTATTCGCGATTGCTTCGCCTAATATTTATCTCGCGAATTTCGACGTCGAAAGCACGAATCATCCGTTCCACGCAGGAATGCTGAAAAAGCAGCACGAAAACGGGTGCGGACCGGCCAACGCGTACGTTAATTCAAATATATACGCGTCTAAAATTAATATAAATTAGCGCCGCCGTCGGCTTGTCGGAATGCGAGCGCGTTCCTGTAAATTGAGACAAGTCGCTACCACCGTGCAAGACAGTCTGACTACTCCCGAACTAAGGCGTCTTATAATGATGTGTCGTCACTATTCGCCAAGTATATTGATGCATTCGATAGATATTCGATGCGAGCGATATTATTCATAAAAAATCAAAGTTTGAATTATTTATTAAACATTGCCTCGAATTTATATTGCGTCTTCAACAAAAAGTCTTCAATCTTAATATTAAAAGAGGCAGGATATATAATAAATATCCCATATAATTGCAAGAAAAAGAATTATTTTAGGGAATTATGATATAAATATTTACACTGTAAATGCTAAATTATAATAATCTCGTTATAATAATTACTTTTCACAAGATGAATTTACGTGTAATTATTCTAGCCATTTGCGTGTATCAGAGTTTCGAGCAAACATTAATTTCGCGTTAACATTGTTATTCACACTAAAAAAAAGAACATAACCCGCGAGATACGTTTCATGCTACGATTCGCATTTATTCACGTTACACAGAACAATGCTAACCCGGCTTGTTTCGTTAACCGAATTTTCACAAAAATTGCAGCTCTCTAGTTTTATGGAACACACGGCAAATCGATACGCGCGTTTGGTTCCGTTGCCAAAAAAAAGAAAAAAACGAGGAAATAAAACCAGTTATACGAGCAAAGAGGATTATGCGATTTTCGTAGCCAGAATCGTTTCGTCGAGGAAGACTAAAAGGTCGTGTGTTCTCGAACGACAAAGTTCACGAATCGTTCTTCCGATTGCTTTTAATCTGCAACGAACGGGGAGTAGAAGCGACTCGTAGAAAAGCACCCCTAAAGTGTCGTCGGGGGCACAGGGAGAATCCGTTCCCGAAGGGTCCGAAAAGGTTATTTCGGATCGACAGGGACACCTGCCGCCTTTAGCTGCTGGAAGAAACGATAAATGACTGGAAGCTAGACGCTAGTCTTCTCAATTAACGACGATCGACGTGAATTGGACACAAAGTGTTCTCTCCGATCGATACGATAAATATTTTCTCGGCGAAATTACCGTGGGAGGAAATAGGATCAAGGACTTTCTGCCTCCCATGCTTCAAATTGAATGTAAAATTAAACGTTTATAATTAGTGAATTTTACATGAGACTGGAAAATTATCTGAGAAGAAAGATAGAAAGAAGCTGACTTTCAGAAATATAAATTATGAAAAATATTATGTATTGAATAAATCATATTTTTCAGGAAAAATTAATAATGACAGAACTATAGAGAGATATATGCATATTTTTCTATATTTTTCTTTACAATTTACATAACTAGGTTGAGCATCGAAAGTTATTTATAAACCGAGACATATTCCCTCTTGTTATTTCTTATTTTCTTTCTTATTTTCTCGATGGATAGCGATTATATCGACAGACGTTAAGCTCAAAACTTCTAGAATATTGACAGATCCAAGATGACCATGTCAAAGTTCTATCTCGTCTCAGCGAGAGAGAGATTTCCGGAATACTATATTCCCATAAGACTATAATATGAAATCTCGAATCTATAGATTCCAGTTATATAAAGAAGCGTTCTGCTTCATAGAATTATTTATCTCAAATAGATTTTGAAATTGAAGCTTGAGAAAATCTGGAGAAATAGAAATAGAAACAAAATCGTATTTTTTTCTCTACTCTAATTTCAAATTTAACGAAAGTCAACCTTAATTAATAATTATTCACCATACAAATAGAACCAAATATTGCACTTATTCGTATGTAATCGTATGAAATATTTTCGTCCTCCTACATTGGACTAGTTTTCATACGGTAAAATGAGATGGTATATGAATTGAGGAACTAATATATAATGGTGCCGGCTGGTCGGTCGAATCAACGCGAACTGGCAGCTATAAAGAGGGGGAGGATGTGAATGTCGATTCAGATATTAAATTTCCTCGTGCTCTGTAGTACGCGCGCGGGATTCGTCCCTATTTCCCACAGGACCCGGTCAGTTTCCGTCAGGATGGCACATACGTCAGTTCACTCCGTCCGTTTTTACCCGACCGCATTACGGAATCCGTAATGATCGACCTGTCTCAGGATGGCGATGAGTGGTCCAACTCTGACAATGAGTACATGGTCGAAATAAAACGTTGTATTTTTACTCCAATCAGAAAATTAATTCATTATTCGTTAAATGCATATGAAGTTCACACTTTTGTTAAAAATACTGAGCTAATTCTAGATAATAAAGTAATTAAGAAGAATATGTCGATTAAATTATTTAATTTCTAATTAAATAATCAATCATTGTAATTCAAATCAGATTAATTATTCTAAAAAATATATTAGGCACATTTAACTGTAGATTAAAATTCTCGTTGTTTCAGTTTTAGTTTCTCTATATTTCACTTGAAACTATAATATATTTATATTATGTATAATTATATTATTATAATATTATTTAATATATATATTTATATATTTATAAAAACATTTTATATATGTATATACTTTCATAATCTAATAAAAAGATATATAAAAATTATAGGAGAAAGAGTAGAGATAAAAGATAGAATTTATTTAGAAATGGCAATCGATTTTCATCCAACTAGAAATAAAAAACTGATCTACGAAACTTGCCCTAGTGATAGATTGGGTAAGCTACTTTTCTTACCTACTAACATCATTCGAAACGATTTCACGCTTCGAAATTTCGAGAAAATTAAACTTGCTTCTTTGATAAAGTGCAGGAAATCAGAGACTTCTGATATTCGACTTTAAAGCGTTCTTTTGAACCATGCATGATGTGCTTTTCTTTCTCTCTTTTGATCATTGGAGATGCATTCTGTTCTGAGAAAGAATCATATATTTTTTGGCCATTGAGATAGTCAAAAATAATCTTAGTAAAGATTGAAAAAGACTCACTATTTATATTGCTCTTGACCCATAATCACTCTGTTGTCGTATACATGTTTTGTGTGCATGAGAGAGAGTGTTACTATTAATAAAAATATGATTAAAGTTGATGATATTTAAATTTTAATTAATGTCGTAATAGTCATTTTTCCGTCATAATTTTCTTTATAAAAGAAAATTATATCGAGGATGTGAGACTAAAAGTACTCTTGTAATATAGAAATCAAAAATAATGTATTATAAACAGTTAATAAATGCGTCTTATTATATAACTTCAAATAATTGTTATAATATCTCTAAAAAAAGAAATAAAAATAAAAATAAATTTATACATGTACTATATAAATATAAATATAAATATATATAATACGCAAATTTATATATAATATTTATATGTAGTATAATAAAACATATATAAATGCACAATAAAAATAAAAATGTAATTAAAATGTACCTTTAAGCTTTAGCTTAAAGGTACCTGTTAGCTCATTTATTAATTTCAAAGCTCTTATTTCAGTGCGCATGTTTTAATTAAGTCTTGCAATATTACAAGGCACCATTTTTTCTTGTTTTCTTAGAAGAAATTAAAAGAATGGATAAATGGATAAAATGAGAAATGCGTAGCGATGCAAGAAAATCATTAAAACAGATCCGAGAAATATCGATAATTCCGCGCTATAGCGCG